CCTATCCTATCAATAACCTATCCTTCAATTTTCATGAATGATATTAGTCATCATCGAAACCACCACCACCAACAACAACATCTAAACTGAATTTCTTTTCGAAAAGAAGGGGGAGAAAATAAACAATTTTTTTTCCGACTATATAAATACCGATTGATAATTTAGTTGAATGGTTTAAAAACCAACCAACCTTCATCTTCACCGTTATCATCTGTAAAATTCAAATGAATTAATCAACAGTGTTTTTTTTCTTTCTTCAACGAAATTTGATCAATAATTTGAACAAAAATCATCATGTTTACATCGATTCGATCAAACCAAAATAATAATAATGATAATGGATCGAAATTGATCTATCAACAGCGAAATTCTCGAATTCAAATTAGTCATTCTAAATTTGTGATGATATCGATCATTTGGATCTCAATGATGATGATGATGATGGTGATAATTGATGCAGCTCCAACTGAAAATCAAACGAAATTATCGATAAAATTGGATGATCATCTGCAAATGATGATTGAAAATAACATTGATGATCATCATCACCATCATCGTCGTCGAAAACGTTTCATATCATCCGATGTTGGTGCAATGGTAAGTTTCCAAGAAATTCTATTTTTTTGAAAACTTATGGAAAATTTTCTGAAGAAAATTTCCCATTCTGTAAAAAAAAACAGTAATGGGAAATTTGCTAATTATTATTTTGGGTAAATGTTTGTCGAAAGAAATTTCTCTTTCTCTTTCTTTATGATGATTTTATCAATGACAAAAATTGATGGTCGTCATCGTCATCATCATAATGATGATGATAATTTTCATTTTTTTTCCAAACTGTTGCTGCTGTTTCTGTTTGTCGATAGATAATGTTGACAATTTTGACATTCAAAACAATTTTCACTTCCCAAAAACTCTGTGAATGAAACAAATCAAAAAAACAATCATCAACATCGTCGTTCATCCATACAAAATTATGGTAGTGATGATAATGATTTTTTTTTCTCCAAAATTACTAAGTTTGGTATAGAAAAACTTTTTTGAATTGATTAATTAAATAGAAAAATTAATTATGCAATTTTTTTGAGAAAAAAAAACATCAATTGATTTTTTTGACAGGTTTGAGCGAATGTGAGAGTCAATCAATCAATCAATCAATCAATCAGGATGGATCGATCCAGGATAGAAAGCAACAAACAGAAAAAAGAAAATTTCCTTTTTTATCACACTTTTCAAGGTTATACACAGTTGTTGTCATCATCATTTCTTTTATACGATGGTGGTATCTGAAGACGATGAAATTGAATTAAGTTTTTTCAATGATAATTTATGTTAATTTAATTTGAATTTTGGAAAAGTTTTTTGAAAAGAATGAAGAAATTTCACTAATCATTTCAATGTAACGAAACAATGCTGCCTTTGAACTTGAAATAAAAAATTCTTGTCAGCAACAAGAAAATTCTTGTCAAACATTCAAATTATCATCATCATTTTCTTCGTTTGTCATTTATCATTTTTATTTGTGTAGGTACAACCTGTTGTTTAGAAATTAGACAGGTGAAGAATATGAAAAAAACAAGGAAGCGATGTTTAAAAAAAACATCCATTTTCCGAAAGTTTTGAAAAAAAATTTCACATCTTTTTGATATGTTTTCCCTCTCTCTCTCTCTCTCTCTTGACGGTGAAAGGGTTGAAAATACTTTTTTTTCATTGTCAGGAACTTAAAGATTTAGAAAACGAGAAAAGGGTACAATAACCTTTGTTTTTTTTTCTAGTAATAACTTTGTGTATAATCATTTGCTTCCAATCAAAGTAGTTCAAGGTTAACTAACTGGCAACAACAGGTAGAATATAAAAAAAAAGAATGACTAATTAATGATAATGGTCACGTAATAATCATCCATTACTATCATCATTGAAAAGCGAATCTTTAGCGGACAGTGATCTGATGGGATTATCGACCTACGATTTTCAAAAGATCATGATCCTTGATATAATCATCACTTTTTCTTAATCTAACCCCTCCGCACACACACACAGGGTGAAAGGGTTGAAATATGTCTAATAATGGCTTTCAAATTTATTTTATTTTTTATTGCCAAAATCATATGCAATGTCTGTATGTTTCAGTTTGATTGATTGGCATTATCATCATTGTCAAGGGTTTGAAAGAAAAGAAATTCTCACTAAAAGAAACTTTGTTGCCCAAGAATTTCATTCAATCAATGATGATGTGAATCACTCATGAATCACTCTCTCGTCATTTCATTGACCTGTATCATTGTTTTATTGATTTTTTCTTCAATACTCGATAGTTTCGGTTTTTAACACAAAGGTCATCGACGTTCTTCAAAACATTTATCGACGACCCACTCGATAAATTCATTTCAAAGGTCAAAAAACGCAAACGGAATGTTTTTGAAAAGTACAATACCCCTTGTATCATCATATCACCATCAATCAATTGTACACACACACACTTACAGGCACATCGCTAAAATCAATTGTTAAATATTTACGTTAACCATGTGGTTATTATTCATTTTTTTCTTTTAACGTTTTGTTCATTCATTTTGTTTAGAGCTACTTACAACGATTTGGCTATATGAATGAAAGTGAAGATTCAGCATCATCACATTTAATATCGGAAAATATTTATTCACAAGCAATTATGGAATTTCAACGTTTTGCCGGTCTAAATGAAACAGGTTTGAATATGAAAATTTTTCTAAAATTTTTTCATTTTTCTAAAATTTTTAAAATTATCTTTTCTGTTTTTTCTCATCATTTTAATTTTTTAAAACAAAAATAGGCATCCTTGATGAAGAAACAATTCAAATGATGAATGCACCAAGATGCGGCAATCAAGATCTTAATGGCCATGGTGAAGAAGCACGTAGACGACGACGTAAACGTTATGCATTACAAGGTAAGGTTATCATTACCATTATTTAAAAAAAAATGATGATTATAATCACCATCTTTAATAATTGAAAAATTCAATGTCAAACAAATTAATTTTTTTTTCTGTTAAAGGATCAAAATGGCGACGAACCGATCTAACATATCGTATATCACAATATCCATCCAAATTAAATTTGAAAAAAATTGATATTGATCGTGAAATAGCACGAGCATTTCAAGTTTGGGCCGATGTTACACCGTTGAATTTCAAAGTAAAACAAGATGGTCGTGTACATATTGATATTCGATTTGTTTCGGGTGAACATGGTGATGGTGATCCATTCGATGGGCCCGGTAATACATTAGCACATGCATATTTTCCACAATATGGTGGTGATGCACATTTTGATAATGCCGAACATTGGACAGTTGAATCATATTCTGGTACAAATATATTTCAAGTTGCCGCACATGAATTAGGACATTCATTAGGTCTTGGTCATAGTAGTTCAAGAGATTCATTAATGGCACCATTTTATCAAAAATATAAACCAAAATTTAAATTACATCAAGATGATGTATTAGCTATACAAGCATTATATGGTTATAATGATGATGATAATAATAATGAATCATCAACAGAATCATCATCATCATCATCATCAACATCTGAACGACCAATTGAACCTGATCCATCAGGTGATGGACCAGATTTATGTCAAGATAGTAGTATTGATGCTGTAACACGTATTGCTGATGGTTCAACATATGTTTTTAAAGGTGATTATTATTGGCGTATTGAAACAAATGGTATTGCTGATGGTTTTCCACGACGTATATCGACCGATTGGGATGGTTTACCCGGTAATTTAAATGCAGCATTAACATGGGCCGATGGAAAGACATTCTTTTTCAAGGTTTGTTTGTCTATTGTTTTTCTATATGAAAATCATTTCAATCATTCTGTTCTTAAATGTTATGTTTTAAAAAATAGGGAAATAAATATTGGCGATTTAAAAATATGCGTATGGATAAAGGATATCCAAAATTGATTAATACTGGTTTTGCCGGTATACCGGATAATGTTGATGCTGCATTTGTTTGGGGTGGAAATGGAAAAACATATTTTTTCAAAGGAAATGAATATTGGCGTTTTGATTCAAAAACCGAACCACCTGTTTCGAAACTATATCCAAAATCGATAAAAAATTGGAATGGTATACCAACACGTTTGGATGCTGCATTCCGTTGGGAAAATGGTATGACCTATTTTTTCAAAGGACCATTATATTATCGTTTTAATGATATTGATTTTGAGGTAAATATATTTTCAATCTTGAAAATTCATATTTTTGATTATATAACCTTTGTTTTTTTTTTGTTTTCTCATAGATTGATACACGTGCAAAACCACCGTTTCCACGTCAAACATCACAATGGTGGTTTGATTGTCAATCATTAAGTAGAAAATTAAAACGTCGTCCAACAACAAAAAAACGTAGTAGTAGTAGCAGCAGCAGCAATAGTAATAATCGTCGTAATTCATTTACGGATAATATTCGATCATTTTTCGGTATTAGTCAAACAAAACCGATTGCAAGTGCATTAATGGATTCACAATTATCGACAAATGTTAGTGAATGGCGTTTACATGGTTCAGCCGGAATAGATGATGATGATTCGGATTTGTCAATCAAATCAGAATCATCATCAAATTCAAATGATGATACAATGCAAGATTGTAAGTTAACATTAACATTAATGATAATGTTTACTATCATTTCAACATGGCTACTAAATGGATGATGAAAATTTATACTTGGTGATATATAATACTTAAATTCAATTAATTTTCTTTCATTTTTTGGTAATGGTAATGAAATGGTTATGGTTATTTGGTTGATTGGTTGATGGCAATTATTGATTTATCATTGTTCGCATGTAACTAAAATATCCAAAGGGGCTTGCTTGCTTGTTTGATTTTTTTTTCTATTTTGGATCTCTTTCAATTCACTATCATTTAAATCAATCGAAAAAAATTCTTATTCATTACTGTGCATTACGTATGTATCATCTCCAGATATTCATCCATGATAAAAAACAAACAATTAACCCAAAGTGTGGATTATTGGCGATTTTATGGTTTAGCTGGCTGGCTGGCTGATGACATTTTACCTGTAAATATAAAATTTTCTTCAAACATTGATCATCATCAATTAGTATTGGGCTCATCAAAAACAACGACAACAAGTATTCAGAATCGATATTTATTTTTTTATAAACAAAATTCAATTTGTAAATAGATTTTTTTTTGTTTCTGGATAATTCGGCAATCGATTTTCATTTTCCAAAAAAAAAAAAAAAAAAATCAAATAGGTGTAAACAAATCTTGTCAATTTTTTCATTTTTTACTCGGCTAATATAAATGATCTATCTATAGAATGGAATTGTAATTGAAAAAAAATTATAATCAATTTTTGTAATGGATTTTAAAATTTTTTTTTTAATTAAAAAAAATTATTTATACAAAAAAAATGGATTCGAATGTATCTCAATGATGACAAGTTTCGCCATCTATTATTGGTGAGATAGATTAAGAAAATAATAATGTTGAGATAATTAATGTTATCATCATGATGATAATTGATGATGATAATTTAATCGTATGACCATCATTCATTGATTGATGATCATGTAAATATTGTGCAATTGGTCTTACTGGACATCCACTTGAATCAGCTAAACGCATTGGTAATACAGTCAATGTAGCACCGACCGGATTCAGATCAAATACAGTTTGATCCAAATTTTCCAAAATATAAATGTTATTTTCATTTAAAATGACATGTGATCGATAATCATTACATTGGCCACAATCAATTGATGGACCATCAATACCGACACCAACGATTTTTTTATCAACTAACCATTGAGCAGCTAATGGATGTAAACCAGGAAAATGTGTCAATGTATCATCAGTAGTATCGGTACCAAAATAATCCAATTTATTTGGCCAAAATCTTGACCAACCAGTACGAATGATAACAATTGAACCCTGTTCAATAGGACCATTTTTTTGTTCCCATTCTTTAAAATCATTAACATTTGTTTGATAATCACGTTCACTTTGTGATTGACCAACAACATCAATAATAACCAATGGACGTTCCAAAAGATTTTCTAATGGTATATCAGCAATCGACCATTTATCTTTACCACCAAAATGATTCGGTGCATCCATATGTGTACCGGTATGTGTTGCCATAAATATTTCATCTGATTGAATTCTATTAATGAAAAAAGAAGAAAAAAATGAAATTAATATTAATGATAAAAGAAAAAATGGGACAGAGAAAAAAAATACTGTCAAAATTCATATGAATTCATCATGCCTAAAGGCTGATTTTGTATGATCTTTCTTTTGTTCTCATCATTTGAAGTTTCTGATTATAAATTATAATCAACAATTGGAGAAAAATCAAAGAAGAATTTATCAAAATACGAGAAAAATAACGATTTCGAATGTTTTCATAAAGTAACAATGTTTGTGTATGACAAAATTGTCGAACGAATAATAATTTTGTTGATAATCATAATCATCATCAACATTCGACAATTGTCAAATGATGATAATCAGATGGAGGAAAACAAAAATAAGTTCATATTTAGACCATCATCGACATCGACAACGATGGATGAAAAACGGCGTTTTTTTTCTTCATTCTTCATCGGGTTTGTTGTTGTTGTTATAGATTTCCTGCTCCCTCATTTTTTGTTTTGTTTTGTTTGTAAACTTTTTCATTGTGATTTTCATTTCTTCATCTAAAATATAAGATAAAAGTTGAAACAGTGAGCGAGAATGAAAATCATTTTTTTTTTTGGTTCAATTTTCTTTTTCAACCACCAAGAATGCTTCTGAAAATACTATCTATCTTGATCTCTATACTATGGATGAATTCCTTATGCGAAATGGACAAAAAAGATGAACGAAAAACATCTCAGAACGAACAACAACCGAAATGAATCATATAGATGTGAAACAAGATTAATGATTGAAAAATGTTTTTTCTTTTTTGGCCACTCTTGTCTATTGTTATCTTTCTGGGTTCGCGTTCTTTCTCTCTTGTCTCTCTTGAAAATATATTCCATTTTTCCGTTATGCGACCGGATCTTGTTCGTTCGTTTCAATAGTTTTTCTTCATAAAATGTTTGCTGCTGTTGTTCATTGTCACCATACATCATTTTCATCATCATCATCATCATCATCATCATTATCATCGAGTTCAACAACAACAGAAATCCATATAGATTTCCAAAAAAAAGTAAGTAAGTAAAATGAGAATAAGAATGAAACCAAGTGTATCATGATTTAATTATTATTATTATTATTATTATTCATCGAAAAAAACAACAGAGAGAAAAATAACAAAAAGAAAAATATACACAAAGAATTCAATTTAGAAGAAGAAAAAACGACAAGACAACAAGTTTTCAATCAAAATGATTCATCATGATGATCATCATTTTGATTATATTCAACTATAGGACGTACTGGACATCCACTTGCATTCGATAATTTTAATGGTAATATTGTTATTGTTGATCCGGTTGGTTTCAGTATAAATATTGATTTTTCAATATTTTCCAATATATAAATGTTATTACTATTTAATATAATATGTGAACCTTTTCCATCACATTGTCCACAATCAATTGATGGACTATCAATACCAACACCAACAATTTGTCGTTGTTTAACAAGCCATTCAGCTGCTTTTGGATGAAGGCCAGGAAAATGTGCCTGTTTTGGATCATTTGTTTCCGTACCAAAATATTCCAATTTATTTGGCCATTTTTTTGACCAACCGGTTCGTATAATAATAACCGAATCTTCTAATATTTTACCATTAATTTTTTCCCATTCATTTAAATCACGAACAGTAACTAAATAATCTAATTGATGTGATGCATTATCAACAACATCAACAATAGCTAATGGTCGATTGATTAGATTTTTTAATGGAATATCAGCAACTGTCCATTTATCAAGACCACCAAAATGTATTGGTGCATCCAAATGTGTACCCGTATGTGTTGCCATAAATATTTCATCTGATTGAATTCTAAGATTTATAACGGATAGAGAGAGGAAAAACAAAAACAAAAACAAAAAACGAATTGGAACAATTTCATAATTCATTATTATTAATGTGTCATATCAATGATTATTCTTGTGTAAAGATTTGATTGTTTTCATTCATTCATTTGTACTGATTGATGAAATATTATCAAGATAAATTAGCCGTAAACATTTCAACAACAACATCGATATCGATTTTATAAATTCAATTCGGCAATAATCGATATATATCGATAAATGATTAACTATGTTTTATTTGGTACGATCATTTGGGCGATGAAATCCGAAAAAAAACTGAAATGAAATGAAATTAAGAAAAAACTTACCGAATCGTTTGATTACCAGTTTTTTTCTCACGACTTAAAATTCGTAATTCATATGGTCGAGCTGTTATCCATTTCATTATTTTTGCATCCATTTTATAGCTTAAATCAACTGTCATACGATGTGCGGATATTTGTTGAAAAAATAATGGTTTTAAAACCAATAATAGATATATGGCAATCAAACTTAATAATGTCATTTTGATTCCAATATAAAGAACTTTAAACAACAACAAAAAGAAACAAAAAACAAAACAAAAAAATCAGATTAGTTTGGACACACAAAAAAATTGATTTCTGGTTGAAAACAAAACAAAGAACAACGATTAAAAGTCACCGAATTTGAATGAATGATTCACTTTTGGTGATTTTGTTTTTAAAAAAAAATTTCCAATGCTCGATATTGCTCGATTACGATGTAATTTCCACTTTTGAATTAATTTGATGATTTGATATTCTGATTTTATGGAAAATTTTTATTTTTAATAAAATCCTGAAATTCAATACAACAGCTAGGTGTGACGATTAAACAACCACTACTACTACAATAACGGCTATTCATCACCTAAGAATTTGTTTGTTTGCTTGTTTGATTCACCCAGAAATGATAAAAGAATGAATTCAATTCATACTGGACAACATGCAAAGACAAAAACAAAAACAAAAACAAAAAACTTGTCGCGCAAGCTTCACTTGTTTCATATTCTCATTATTATTACCCGCTTGTTAACCACAACCACCACCTTACTAATCAACAGAGCAACCTTGAATTTGTTTTTTTTTTGTTTTTCGTTTGAATGAAGAAACCATTCAATTCAAAAAAACTATGAATCGATCGATATGAATTCAAAATGAATGAATGAATAAAGCTTTTGATGATCATTGACGATGGTGGTGGTGGCGGCGGTAGCTAAGCAATTTACATAATTATCATTTTGCTGTTTGTATACTGGACTTTACCACTACCGAATTTCTATATTTTTAGATTCGTGACATTTTTGGATTAATAAAACTTACATGACCAACATTGATGCATTTTTTGTTGTTGTTGTTTTTGATATGTTTATTTTGTGCCAGGAAAATGAAATCGATCGATTCGATTCAATTTGATTGATTGATTGATTCGGTTTGTTTTCAGGTATCCCAACTATTCAATGGAGAAGAACGGTTTTCAAAAACCTAAATGAAAAGGAAATTTTCTTCAAAACAATTAATGAATTTAGATGATGGTAAAGGTAGTGTGATAGGTGTGTAAAGATAATAATCATTACCTGTGTGTGCTATTGGGATATCAAATAATCATCATTATGGATCAAAAAAATTCAACAAGATAGACTTGTTGTTGTTGTTGTTGTTATTATTGTTGAAAAGAACGAAAAAGAGAAAGATTCCACTCAATCATTTTAGTTACTCAACAATCATCAATTTTCGATGATTGAAAATGATTATTTTCTCTTTTTTTTTTCTTCTTCAATTCGAAATGGTCGAATTCATCATTTTCTCTTTGTTTGTCCTTTCCATGGCGACGATGATGACGGCGACGGCGATCTGAAGACTTCACCATAGACAACACAGTTTCGAGGACAAGAAATTTCAAAAATTTTTCTTTTTCCTTTCCTTTCATTGGATTGATCATAATCTTCAACATTAAATAAGATAAAAGAGTGAAAAAAAAGAAATTAAAAGTTTGTTTATTTGAATCAAAGACCACTACCATCATTATCATTATCCGATTATCATCCACTGTGTGTCCATCTTTTAAACATCATCGAAGAGAGAGAAAGAAAAAAAGTGAAATTTGATTGTAAACAGATTGAATCATATATGGCCGTGACCAAAATTTTTTTTTTCAAAGAGACCAATCACATTGATTTTTCTCGATGATTTTAAACTTGGTAAAACTTTTCTTTTCACTTGTTTTTGTTGACCTCGATGTTTTTTGTCAAATTTTAAATGGGAAATTTTGATTGTTTTCCAATTCCGATATCAATTTTTTCATTGCTTCCATCGAATAGTTTGTGTTTTGTTTTCAATCTTTTTTTCTAAAACGCAAAAACAATTTTAAAAATATCTTCGAAAAATTTCGTAATCACTATAATTCTATGTTTTTTTTGTAAATTGAAAATTCATTCAGAATCAAAATTCATTGTCATTATTAGATGATAATGTTAGCTAGTTGGTTGCCATTACATTACCATTGAACTAAATTAGTTAACATTGAAACAACAAACAATCGGTTATTCAAATTTGGCATTTACATTGACTAATAATAATAATAATAACGATGACGGTGATGAAAAATTCTGTTGCAATGCATTTTTCGATGCAATCGTAGAATATTCCATTAAACGACCATGATGATACAATGGATGTTCAATGTCATCATCATCAACTGCGAATCGGATAGAGGAGGGGCAAAGTATTTTTTTTTTCATTCGAAAACAAACCAAAAAGATCATCGTCATTATAAATAAATTGATTGTCGTTTGTACACTGGCATTGGGGAAAAAAAAGTCTAAAATTTTTTTTATTAGTTGAAAAAATAGAAATTCTTGCCAATTTTTCTTCTTCGAAAAGAATTTCTTTGAAAATTGAAATTCTCTCTCATTCTATTCAACGACATTCATTTCGAACGAAACAAATTCGATTTTCAAAAATTTTTTTTCTCTTTTTAAATAATTTGTGTTTGTGATTGATTGATCGGATCGGATTGGAACATATTAATAATCATGCACATCAACATATCGGAAGAATCGGCATTTGCACCATACGAAGATCGTTGGTATGAACGTGAAGCTGATGGTTTTCGTACCTGTGGCCGTTGGCGTCGTGGACGGAAAAATCTTTTCAATTTAGGAAGAAAATTCAATCAAATGGATTTTGAACGTCGTATTATGGCTGAACGTAAATTACGTAATACATTAAAACGTTTAGATAAAACAACAGCTGAACCGGTTATGGAACAAGGTAATTATTGTGAACGTATTAATTGGAATCATGTTTATCCAAATTGGTTAAATTATCGTGAACTTCATATGCATCATAAAATTGTATTGTAAAACATCGATCGAAGAATAAAATACCAAAATTTTTAATTAATAAAATTTATTTTATTTAATTACATTAAAATCAAAATATAATTTTCAATTTATACAAAAGTTTCATTTAAAAAAATTCATTCCAAATCAGGTTCTTCAAATAAATCATCCGTTGAAAGTTTACGTTTTAATGATACATTTTTATCATCTGATTTTTGTTGTTGTTGTTGTTGTTTTTGTAACTTTTTCAGCTCTTGTTGTTGTTGTTCAAGTAATTGTTGTTGTTGTTCTAACAATTGTTGTTGTTGTTGTAGCTGTTTTTGTTGTGAATTTTTGTCAATATCGACTGTTGTTGTCGATGATGATGATGATGATTTTGATCTATCATAATTTGGTTTAGATTTATAACGATATTGATTGTCATAATAAGTAGACGATGTTGATTGCTGTTGTTGATGATATGATGGAGTTAATTGTGGTTGTCTTGATTGAAAATTTGATGCCTGTTTTAATTCATTCATTCGTATTTGATAGACAATTTTTGAATCAACATTTAAAACTTTATCCAATTGTCTTAATGCAACTAATCGAACAAGATGTTGTGCTGAACAGGTAATATCTTCTTTATCTTGTCGATTAAGATAATTAAATATATTTGTTAAACGAGCTTCACATGGATCAGCTAAACCTTGAAAATTTGTCATCATAATACCATGAGCAATAAATTCAAAAAAATGCCGAAATAACGATGCCGGCCCTAGACAACAATTTGCTGAGATCAATATCCGTTCCAATATCACTTCGAATGTCTAAATTGAAAATGAAAATTTAAAAAAAAAATCAGAAAAAACAAATTTTTTTACAAAAAAAACTTACATAAAGTGTTACATTAGACCAAATATCAACACGTTTAGTTAGATCACGAAGTATTCGTAATGTAAATGTAAAAAAATTATGTCTAATTCCCATATCTTTAAACCAACGAAAATGTTTGATATCATCCAATGAACGAAGACATTTTTCTCGATTCAATAAATCCGATACATTTTCACAAAGTTCTTGTTCACTTTCATCACGAATATATGGACAGGTTAGATAACAATCAAATCGCAATATTCTTTTTGAATCATCTTGAATTATTGGTTCATTACCACCACTACTAGAATTTAATGTAAATGTATATAATGATATACGAAATTTTGTTTCATCCAACATTAATTCCGATTGAACATGATATTCACCCGGATAATCATCTGGATTTTTTGATAAACGTTCAATTTCTTTCGGTACTAATCGTTCGAATAATTTTAACAACGATTCAGTTGGTAATATTGATGATAAAATTATTAATTGAAAATATTTTTCCTCTGTAATTAATAAACCTTTACCAAGTGGTCCTGGACGTACTACACGAATAAAATCAACAACTCTTGAATCATTTGATATGATACGATTTTCACTATTATTTTCCAACATATCTTCAATCGTATCCATCGGTAATAATGTTTTATGAACGGATAAAATTTTTGGTACAGGAATTGGTAGTAAAAAATTCAGTTCAATAAAACGTCCAACATTACGTATTGCTTTTTCAACCAGATAAGCTGTTTGATAAATATATTCTAATTCAAATTTTGTTGGTTGAATTAAATGATGTCTATATTCAAGTAAATAATCACTAAATGATCTAGTATAATCTTTTCCTTTTAAAGATGATGAATGTATTGATGTTGAATGAACATTATTTTGATTATATTTAAATATTGTTACAAATTCTTTAGATTTTTCAATCGAACGAAATGGATCCAAATCTTCCGTTAAATATGGTTTTGTATGTAATATTTTTTTCATTAAACGTTCTTTTTGTCTTATTCGTTCTAATTTTTCATTTTCAATTTTTATCATATCACTTTTTATAAATTCAACAATTAAATTTGGATCAACTTTTTTCTTATATTGTAAACGATGACGACGACCTTTTAGATGTAAATTTTTTGCATTCAAATCATTAAAACGACATTCACACAGTGTACAAGTAAATGATATAATTTTTCCATTTTGATTTAAAACTTCTTCAATAAAATCCTGGCCAATTGGTTTACAATCGAAAAAATCTTTAATTTCATGTTGCATTTTTGATAATGTGGATGATGATGACGATGGTGATTCGGATGTTTCATTTATCGTCATTCGATCCAAATTTGATGTTTGTTCACCAACATTCATAATGGATCTTGATTTCATTTGATCCGCTTGTTGCTGTTGTACATCATTATGTTGCGAATTTTTATCACCAAATAATTCTTTAATTTTTGTTTCCAATTCAATGGAAACATTTTTTGATAATATTTCCGGTATATTACTAAAAAATTCTTCACCCATTTTTCTACGATAACCAATCGAACGATTATGACGTTGTCCTTTTAAATGACTTGAATATGAATCAATACTAACACAAGGTACATCACAAATACGACATTTTAATATAACACTCATTATTGTTGGTCCACGATTATTGATGGATTTTTTATTTTCCAATGAATCTTTTGGCACCAATTTTTTCATTCCATTATTACGTAAAAAATCAACACGTTTTTTATGTTTAAAACCGGACATATGTTTCATCATTGAATCCGAACTTGAACAAACTAATTGACATGTTTGACAAAAATAGTTTGATTTTTTATCACTATTATCGATTAAGGTTTCTGATTTTGTCGAAAATTTTGGACTATTCAATTCGACATTGGCAGTGCTATTGATGTGCGATGTTACAGATGAAGAAATCATGGCGGTGCGCGGTGTATTTGGTAATATTTGTGGGGCTTGTAAGGTGGTTGTATTAACATTACTAACGGGCATCATAACCATAGGTGTTGATGCGTTTACATTCGAAGGATTTGGATAATATGCATCTGGAGACATCATAGTTGTTGGTTGAAACATCATCGGCGGTGGTGGTGGTGGTGGTGCTGTTGGTCGTTGTTGAAATTGAATCATTGGATTAGCAACAACCGAAATCGTTGTCGGTGTGACAATCGATGGTGTGGACGATGTTGCCGCAATAATCGCTGCATATTGTTGTTGCTAATTTAACAGGAAATTCAAAATTTCTTTTTACAATATTCATTATAGACAAACTTACATATGCTTGATATTGAGCAAATTGTGCAGCATATGCTGCATATGCAGCATTATTATTAACAGATGCTGGAGCTGTTGAAACAGGAATCGTTTGCTGTTGTTGTTGTTGCTGCTGAATAATGGCTGCTGTTGGATATATGGAAGTAGCCGATGATGTTGATGCTACGGCTGTTGACATATAACTATATGGTAATGGATAAATAGCTGTCTGTTGATAATAACTATAATAAAGTTTTGATGAATTTTGGATTGTTTTTTGGCACGAATTGCTACTTACGTATATGGTTGTGGTGTTTGTTGAGCAATAGGTTGTATTTGGCTTACGAATTGAGTTTGACCACCACTTGTAACGGATAGGCCAATCGGATTATTATTTATCGTTGTCATTGTTGTTGTTGTTAGATTCGGTATTACCGATGGTTGTTGTGTTGATTGTTGTGGATTTAACATTCTTCGAGTCGATATTCATTGATTGTGAAATAGGTAAAATAAATTGAATATTTTTTTAAAAACAAACGTTCATATCACATTTTTTAAGGGAAAAAGAATTTTGATAAAATTCAAAGATTCAAAACAAAGTAGAAAAAAAACATTTAAAAAAAAAGATTTTCGAAATCAAGAATATTTTTTTTTTGCAGAGAATTCAAAGAAAACTCATTATTCTTTTGTTTATACATTGACAGTTTATATTTTACACATGTTTATCGAGTCCTATCCTATATGAACAATATATTCGAATCCAAAAAAATTATGGAAGTGGTATACGTTGATGTGAATAAATTATCCCCAAAAAAAAAAATGTGTATCAGCTGCTGCCACATGTGTAATGTTGGCAATATTGAAATGATGATTTTTTCTTTCAACATTCAATTCATTCAATGTGATTATAAATGTGTGTGTGTGTTTTGTTTGTTAATTGAAAAACAAAAAATTTGCTTTTAAATTTTTTTTTAAATTCTAAAAATTAGTTAAAAAATAATAATAATAATCATGGATGATAATGAATTTGATCAGATCAAGTAAGTGTTGTTGTTCGATTTTTTTTTTGGTGGTTCCACTTTCAAAAATTTAACTTTTTTTCATTTCCATAGTGATGGTAAAAAACAACAAACAACCGGAAAGAAAAGTAAAAAAGATCGTCGTAAGAAAAAAAATGATGATGATGATGAAGATTTGGATGCATTGTTAGCCGAATTACATATGGAAATTGTTGAAGGTAAAAAACCATCGGTTGTACCTTCAACATCATCATCATCGAAACCAATCAAATCGGATGATACGATAACGACTGAAACTAACAATAATCATGTTGATAATATGAATGATAAAAAATCCACCGTCAATCAAATCAATAATGATGATAATGATGAAAAATCGCAAACAAAATATAAAAAGAATAAAAAAAAGAAAGATAATAAAAAAGTAACGAATCAATCGACGCAAGAATCGGAAAATGTACAACAGAAAAATAACCAAAATGATGATGATGATAATAAAACTGGTGATAAAATGGAAAATGTTGATAAAAATAATGCCGATAAAAGTGATAATGATGATGGCGATGATGATGATGGTGATACCGGAACCAGTAAAAATAAAGACAAGAAAAAGAAACGTAAAGAAGCAAAGAAAAAGAAACAAGAAGAACAACAATCAACAGGTACAACAAAAGCATCGGGAAAAGGTCCTGGTAAAAAACAAATAGCATTAATGCAAGAAATTCTAAAAAAACAACGTGAAGAAGAAGAACGACAACAACGTGAAGAAGAGGAACGAATTCGTTTGGAAGAAGAACGTGAACGACAACGTGAAGAAAAAGAACGATTAGAAAAAGAACGAAAAGAAAAGAAAAAACAAAAGGAAAAAGAAAGAAAATTACGGCTGAAAAAAGAAGGAAAATTACTAACAGCCAAACAAAAAGCTGATCGTCAACGTGCTCAATTGAATTTACAATTATTAAAAGAATCTGGTCAAGCAGTAATTGGTAAAACACGTAAAGAAGGACGATTAGATAAACAAGATTCACAAGATGATGAATCTAAATCTGATAATAATTTATCTGAACCAAAAGATGATGATAATACTGAACCATTAGATGATATTGAAATGGTTAATGATGATGATGTTGATGAAGAAGATGAATTTCCTGATGATTGGGAAAATATTGTGATTGAAGATAGAAAAAAGAAACAACAACAACAACAACAACAGAAAGCAATAGAAAATAAAAAATCATCCAATAATAAATCAGTAAATAATAGCCAAACAACATCCACAACAAAATCAATTGATCCAGATTTATCGTTATCAACATCAAATCCGGCAAGTAGACCACCGGAAAAATTTCGTTCACCAATTATCTGTGTACTTGGTCATGTTGATACTGGTAAAACAAAATTATTAGATTATATAAGAAAATCACATATCCAAGATAATGAAGCTGGTGGTATAACACAACAAATTGGTGCTACATTTGTACCACCAACAGCCATACAAGAACAATGTAAAAATGTTAAACAAAAAACTGAACTAAAAATACCAGGTTTATTAATCATTGATACACCTGGTCATGAATCATTTTCAAATTTACGTTCACGTGGTTCATCACTTTGTGATATTGCCATATTAGTTATCGATATAATGCACGGTTTGGAAAAACAAACAATCGAATCATTAAATTTATTGAAATCACGTAAAACACCATTTGTTGTTGCATTGAATAAAATTGATCGTCTTTATGAATGGCGTTCAAATGTACGTAAAGATGTTGAAGATTTAGTTAATTCACAATTACCAAATGTAAAACATGAATTTAATACATTAAAACAAAAAGTTATTGTACAATTAGCTGAACAATCAATTAATGCAGCATTATTTTATGAAAATCCTGATCCACGTACATATATATCATTGATACCAACATCTGCACATACTGGTGATGGTATGGGTAATCTAATCAATTTGATTACACATTTTACACAAACATTATTGGCTAAACGTATAAATTATGTATTGGATTCATTGGATGCAACCGTATTAGAAGTAAAAGCAATACCTGGTCTTGGTACAACAATTGATGTTGTATTAGTTAATGGTAAATTGCGTGAAGGTGATAAAATTGTTTTGGCTGGTCATGATGGTCCAATTGTTACACAGATTCGTGCATTATTAGTACCACAACCATTAAAAGAATTACGTGTAAAATCACCATATGAAGAATTACGTATTGTTTATGGATCGGTTGGTGTTAAAATTGCAGCACATGATTTGGAAAAAGCTGTTGCCGGATTAAATTTATATGTTGCACATAATGAAACTGAATTAGAACGATTGAAAACAATGTGTTGGTCACAATTTGGTTCGGCTATGAAAGCTATAAAATGTTCAGATAAAGGTGTTTATGTTCAAGCATCAACATTAGGTGCATTGGAAGCATTATTGGAATTTTTAAAAGATTCAAAAATTCCTTATTCAGGTGTACGAATTGGTCCTATTGCTAAACGTGATGTTATGAAAGCATCAATAATGTTGGAACATTCACCCGATAATGCTGTCATATTAGCATTTGATGTAAAAATTGATCGTGATGCACAAGAATTAGCCGATCAATTAGGTGTTAAAATATTTATGGCCGATATAATTTATCATTTATTTGATCAATTTACAGCATATAAAGAAAATCTACGAAAACAACGTAAAGAACAGAATCGTCATTTAGCTGTATTTCCATGTAAATTACGTATATTACCTAATTGTATATTCAATAAACGTGATCCAATTGTTTTGGGTGTACATGTTGAAGATGGTACATTAGTACCGGGTACACCATTATCCGTACCAACAAAAGATTTAGATATAATTGGTCGTGTAACAACAATCGAACATGATCATAAAACAGTTGAACAAGCTAAACGTGGTGATGAAATTTGTATTAAAATTGAACATTGTACATCGGATGCACCAAAATTATATGGCCGTCATTTTGATTCAAATGATTTAATTTATTCACGTATAACACGTGATTCTATTGATATAATGAAAGAACATTTTCGTGATGATTTAGAAAAAAGTGATTGGCAATTAATGATTGAATTGAAAAAAATTTTCAATATCGTTTAAGAAAAATGAAATAAAATGAAATGATTTTATTATTTTACCAATAATGATGATATATATGATCCAAGCGAAAGAAAACCATGAGAAAAGCAAACATCAAAATTTTTTTTCGTCCCCATTGTTTTTTTGCTGTAAAATTATTAATTCTTAAATGAAAAAATTTTTTTTTCCTAATTATTTTTATTCAAAACAAAAATAAATAAATAAAATGTTTTTTAAATAAAAAATTTGAATAATTCACTGATTGATCACTTGACGAAAAATGAGCAAAAATTAAGCTTTTGCCTTGGCTTTAGCTTTAGCTTTAGCAGCTGCTGATGAAGCATAATTGGTTGTACGTTGCTGTGACATGAATCCACCGCTCGATCCTCCATAACCACCGCTGCTGCTGCTGCCACCGCCTGATGAACCATATCCGCCGCCTGATCCACCATAATCACTGTTACCATGTCCACCTTGTCCTTCAGCGACAACTGTATGAATTTCTTCAATAACTGGTTCAATTTCTTGTATCACTTTTCTTTTTGGTGAAATAATTTCTCGAACTTCTTGTATGATTGGTTTTCGAACTTGTGTTACTAATCGATGTGGTTCTTCTTCATATTGATTATATTCAGTTTCACCTGGTCCTTGCATTCGATGATCTTGTCGTACTTTAATACGACTGGATGATGATTTGAAAACAATTTCCACCGGTAGTTCGTTACCTTCAACTTCGATTATTTGTGGTTCGATTGGTCCAATTTGTGATTGTACGGGTTTGGTTTCGAATGTTTGTGTTGAGAATACAGCTGCATTTATACGACCACCACCTCTTGATGAACCGCCTCCGTATCCTGCCATACTTCCACCATAACCGCCACCACTTCCACCCATTTTTCCTCCATATCCTGTGCTACTTCCACCCATGCTTCCGCCATAACCAGACCCACTTCCACCACTACTAGATCCACCTGTTGGAAATCAAATAAGAATAAAGATTAAGTTAAGATTTTGCATTAATAAATTCATCATTATAAAAGAGGAAAGGATGATCAAAATCAATAAAAAGCTTGCCGCGCACCAACAGCTTGTAAACCCATAAAAGCACCAATTCCGCCACTAATAGCAGAACTAATACCGGTGCCTAAATGAGCTAATTCCGGACCCAATCCGTTGAATGATTTCACCTGGCGTCCAGCACCAAGTTGATCAATGTTCATATCACCAATATTGATTTGTTGTTGATGATGAATAAATTTGTCCATACCTAAACCAGCCGAATGAAAGCCACCCATCATACGGCTATATCCACCACCACCACCACCACTGCTGCTGCTGCTGCCAAATCCACTAAAACCACGGGAATTTCCACCATAACTACCACCACCACCACCACAAGCGGATAAATCAAATATCCATAATAAACATATCGTTAAAATGATAATTTTGTTAAACATTTTGTTGTTGTTGTTGTTGTTGTTGTTTTTTGTCTGTCGACGAATAATGAATGAATGGTATCAAACAATTGTCAACATTCGAGTATTTATAGTGATGGTGACAAATACACGGTCCTTACTTCTTTTTTTCTGTTGTTGTAGATGTTCATATTTTTTAATTTATTTTTGGATCATCCAATTGTTCTGAATTTGTTGTTTGTTGACAAAAATATTTCATAATACACATACACACACAATTAATAGTCCATTAAGATCATCATCAATGGTTTGGCGCAACAATCAAACAAACAATCGTTGTTGTCGTTGTCAAATTTTCATTTCATTTTTTTTTTTGTAAAGTATTTCAGCAAAGGAAAAAAAATACATTCATTCGGTGGATATATTGTTGTATCACATACATTTGTCGTTCCAAACAAAAATGTTTCGTGATCAATTGATACACAAACGTTTTGCACTTGTGAAATATATTCAAATTACAAAATTGTTTGAGAAAAAAAGGTTGTTTATTTTCAAGCTTTAAAAAAATGATCAATAAATACAATGAGATTACAAATGTTTTTTTTTGTTAGATGATACAATTTTTACAAACTAATGAACTATTAATCGTTTTTTTCGTCGACCATAACCTTTACGGCTACCTGGATTATTTCTTGATCCTGATGATGATGATGATGATGATGGTTGTTGACGAATTTTATAAATCGAATCTTCATCATCACCATCGTCCATTTCCACCTCTTGTTGCTGTTGCGGTTGTTTTTGTTGATGTGGTTGAGATTCCGGTATTTTTTCTTGTTGTGGCTCAAATTGATCTGATTGTTCTAATTGTTCTAGATTTAAATCTTCCATATTTGTTGATATTTGTTGTTGTTGTTGTTGTGGTCGTTCATTCATTCGTTCTAAAACTTGACGAATATTTTCTTCCAATGATGATGATGATAATGATGATGATGATGGTCTTTTCTTTTGTTTACCACTTCCTCCTTTTGAACCACCAGAATTTGATGATGATCCGCTTTGGTACGCAGAATTTGAAGTACTTTTTGTTCCATCGCCACCATGATTATCATTGGAATTTGTACTACCACCATGTCCAGTTGGATGTTTACGTTTGGATGATTTTCCTTTTGTAACTACTGTATGAATTTCTTCCATAACCGGCTGTATTTCTTGATAAACTTTTCGATATGGTGTTATAATTTCACGATATTCAGCAATAATTGGTTTATGTATTTCGTGTAAAATTCTTGTTGGTTTGGATGTTATTTTTGTTGGTCCAATTGTTTGATTATCATCATCATCATCTGTATCGTGAGTTTGTTTGATATTTATACGACTTGCTGATGATTTAAAATGAATTTCTATAGGTAGATTCGAACCTTTGATTCGAAATAAAAATCATTAATTGTTTTCAATTTTATTATTTGATGATAATAATTACTTACCACCAATTTCAATTACTTGTGGTGTTTGTTGATCATCTTCATCAAAATCGGCTTCTTTTGTTTCGATTGAAAATCTTGTTCGAACAGCAGCATTGATAATTTCTTTGATTTTATTCAATGTTTTTTGATCGATTTGTTCATGATCACCCCCGCCACCACCACCACCATGATCATCATTATCTGGAACTTTTTTTGATGGACCACCACCAGGAGAAGATTTTGTACCATCCGAATTTTGAATTTTATTATAAACCGATTGTACAAGACCACCACCACCCATACCGAAACCATTTTGTGAACCATGTGCTGATTTGATGGCAAAATTCATTCGTTGTGATGATGATGATGATGGCCTTCGCGATAAGGATGATACATGTTGTTGATTATCATCTGTTTTACTTTGTTTCTTTTCACGAATACGATTCGAAGGTGATGTATGATTTGATTGACCATTGATCAAATGAATCATTATTGATGACCATATCAAAATCATAAAGATTTTTGACATTTTTAAATCGGTTTTGTTTTTTTCTCCGAAATTCACTGAAATCGGGTGTATTTTATCGTCGTTATCGATTAAACAAATCTTTGGCGAACTATCGATCAGCTTTTATAAAGTTTGTTTCGAAAAAAAATCAAAAAGATTTCAAATAGAGAAATCGATAAATCGATTTTGTTGAATGATGAAAAAAAATGCAAACAACAAAAATTGCATCATAAGCGAAAATTTTTAAAAAAAAACTAAACCATTGTCGGTTTGCAACAGAAAAAAAAATTTTCTTCTTTTTCAAACAATTTCAACAGGCAAACATTTGAAAAAAAAAAACTTGTGATTTATTTATTGTTGGAACATAACATTTTTTGATTCAAACCACACTTAGTTATATCTTTGATGATGATGATGATGATGATGTTGATTGATGGTCATTTATGGTTCAACATGAATATTTGGATCAGAATAAGCATTAAGTATATGAAAAAATGTATATAATGTTAATGTTGAACTAAGATCAACAAATGATGTTAAAAATGGTATTGTTGTATCACTTGGATTTAGATTCAATTTAAATATTATATGTACAACATTACAGGTAATAAAAATCATTAATATAGCCAATATCATACCGAATATAAGATAAAATACAACAAATTTTACCGTTATATAAATATATTGATTTTCTTGTAATATGGCAACCAACATTAGATAGAAAAATAAACATGGTATAACGCCATGTATAACATGTGATCGATTTGTTTTCGATATTTTTCCACTATATTCTATTCATTGGAAAAAAATGAAAAATTTTTTAAATTTTAAAAATTTCAAAATTGAAAATATATTTACCATAATCCCAGAAAACATCTTTAGGTGTTAATAGCCATTTTATTGTTCGTTCATCAATATTTCGACTATTATGATGTCGTTTTTGTTGTTGTTGTTGTTGTTGTTGTTGTGGTCTAATTCGTTCGAAATTTGTTGATAATAAATTAATTATTATTGAACAAGAATTACCAATATAACCGGATAACATTGGTAATAACATTGACATTTGTTTAAATTCATCATTTGTTGATTCAAATACAAAACCGGCAATAATCGATATTACTGTTGCAATTAATAATGGTTTAAATGAACGTTTAAATGTTTGACTTGATTCAATATTTTTCGATATTAAATACATTAAATATGGAAATATTGATAATAATGTTATGATTATTAGCCAATAAATCCATTTACGATTTGATTGTTCAAGAATATAAAATTTATTAGCAAATTGTACGACCAATATAACGGTTATTAAATCACCAACCGATCCGGCTAATGATGTTGCAACATCATCCGAATCCACACCTTTTATCGATATAAAACCAATAATCAATGTAACAAGACTATCGATTAATGAACAGGAAATTGCACCGGTTGTTAATGCAATTGCATATAATAATAATATTGATTGTATATCGAATGATAAATCTTCAATATCCAAATAAATTGTTGTCAATATTACGGCCACAAACGATATAATTGTTACTTGACAATGAATTATTGTTATATTTTGTCGTATTGTTTGAAAAAGTGCTGACCAAGTATTCATACGTTGTGATTGTGTTTGTGCTAATGTTGACATTCTTGATGCCATTGTTATTTCAATATTACCTTTCATATCCATTAACATTGGTACCAATGCAATAACACCTTTTGTATTTTCAAATGATTCTAAACGATTTGCTTTGAACAGATAAAATCCGGCATATAATTGTATCGATCCGGATAATAATAATGTAATTAATTGTGAAAAATGTGCCAATTGAATTCGATCCAGAATAAAATAACAGATCAATACATTTATAATGTAAGAAATGAAAAATATAATTAAAATTATTTGTTCAGTCATTGGATCATTCATGTTTTTTGTTTTGTTTTGTATATACGATTGGCGAATGAATTTTCGAATCGAATAGTTTTGATTTACTTTTTAAATCTTTAAATAAAATTTTTTTCTCACTGTTGTTGTTGTTCTTGTTGGTTAATCTAATCAATTTGATTCATATTAAATTCTTATTATTCGATAAAATTAAATAAATTAAATAAATTATACAAATTAAATTATCATTTAGGTTGATGTCAACAAAAAATAAACAATTAGTATGGAGTTTTTGTATTTGTGGATGCACCACCACCAAAACTGAATCCACCACCTCCACTGCCACCTGTTGAACCACCACCATAGCTTCCACCCCCTCCGCTACCACCAGTTGAACCTCCCCCATAACTTCCACCACCACTGCTGCCACCCATTGAACCACCCCCATATCCTGAACTACCGCCACCACTACCACCTGTGGAACCACCACCAAAGCCGCCACTAAATCCACCGCCCCCTCCAGATGAACCACCTCCATATCCTGAACCGCCTCCGCCGCCACCACTACCACCTCCTCCTCCGCCTCCTTTATTGCTACCGCCATGACCTTGTCGACGTTGTTCACCTTTAGCAACGACAGTATGAATTTCTTCCATAACTGGTTGAATTTCTTGATAAACTTTTCGATATGGTGTAATAATTTCTCGTACTTCCTGTGATCGTTGAAAACAAAAATGAATTAATTTTTTGTCAAAAACAAATCATATTCATTCACTTACCTGTATAATTGGTTTTCGAACTTCATGAACCAAACGCATTGGTTCTTCTTCTGCTTGTGAATGTTCGGTTTGTCCGGAACCACCCAATTCATGACTTTGTTTAACCTTAATACGACCAGATGCAGATTTGAAATGAATCTCTAATGGTAGACTTCCACCATCAATTTCAATAATTTGTGGTTCTTGATCTTCGAATGGAACATCAACAGTTTTTGTTTCAAATGTATGTTTGGTGAAAACAGCAGCACTAAGACGTTCACCACCTCCACCACCCATTTTGAATTGACCATCATTGCTGCTAAATCCACCACTATCACCGCCACCACCACTGCTACTACCACCACCACCATATGATTGATAACCAAAAACAGTTATCATACACATTGTGGATATTATTAAAACCTGGTTTTTTCCATTAAAAAAAAAATATAGCGGTGGAAAAAAGGAAATGAATTTTTAATTTGAAAATCAAAAATTGAAAAAAAAAATTCAACTCACTTTAAATATTAACATGTTTCGGGAAATTTTTTTTCTGAGATTATTTCGATAACTTGAAAAATTTATTGATTTTTGTTTTTGTTGTTGTGATCACCAATGAAAAAAAAGAAGAAAAAAAGAATCAATGTTCCTGGAACTATGTTCAGGACGTTGTTTTTATATAGTTCTGGAAAACATGAAACCGAAACAAACAAAATGTTGAGAGAGCAAGAGACCTTGAAAATTCAGTAACATTTTGAAGATTTAATTGAATTGGTCACTCTTTCAATGTCTGATCATCATGAATGTCTCTTTTTTTGATTTCTGGAACAAAAACATTCGAATTGGACGATAATCATCATCATCATTGAAGATTGAGAGAAAAAAACTTATGTAACTCATTCAACGTATAATGAAAAAAATAATGAAAAAAATTCTCACACATTTCAAACACACCTACAAATCAAATCAAATCAATCGTATTTTTTGATTGATGGATTAGGATCATCATCATCATCATCATCATCAGAAAAAAAAAATAAACACAAGATTCGATTTCTATTCTAACATTAAATAATCCGATAACAATGAAACAAGCATATGTTGAAATAGTCGTCATTTCGAACGCTCACCAAAAAATTCCCGCGTTCGAATTTGACAACTTTTTTTAAAAAATTTTTTTTTGATTTCAAAATAGCTTGTTTTTTTAATCTTTTTTTGTTTTTGTTTTCGGTGAAATTCATATTTTGTTTCAGACAAAACTAATGATAATAATTTGTACACTTCAATCAACGAATGGAAAACTGTCGAATGTTTTTTTTTTTGAATTCCAAACAAAAATAAATAATAAGATTTTCTTTTCTTTTTTTTCCAAAAGTTACACAATAGAATTATTATTATCATCATAATATTACCACCATCATATATGTTTGTGTATCTTTTCAGTCAAAATTTATTATTATTTTCAATCATAATCATCATCGCCATCATCAAATAATCAAAATAATAATAATGATAATAATTTTTCATTTTCTGAATTGATTTGGCCATGATCTGTCAAACATTCGATGTTGTTGAATGTTTGACCATTCCAAAATATCACCAATAATGTTGATGATGATTATTGGAGATTGAAAGAAACCCGGTACATCATAATCATCATCATCATCACAATCATTGTCATCGTGGGAGTTTATATTGCCTGGAACAAATCTTCAATTCAACAAAAATTTTATTTTGAAATGAAGAAAATAAGAAAAATTATGTAATTCAATGATGATAATGTGATTTTAAAATACCCGATATATCGAATGATGATTACTATTTTGACTTGAATAATCATAATAATAATTCGTACAACAATCAAGTGTAGATTGATTCAAATCAATAATGTTTATATATCGATCGGTTAATGTGTCCATTCGATAAGTGTTTAGAAATTCAAGGTCAATATTTTTTGTTTTTGGAACAACTTTTGTTTGCAACATCGAAAATTTTTGATCTTTTATGTCAAATATGATTGATTTTGTTATCATAAATCGTGATTATCATCGGTGGTAAATCTTACAATGTAATTATTTTTGTTACTTGTTTGATACAAATTTTAATTCTATTTTTTTTAAAGATCATGGCTTTCAGTGTTTTTTCCGCGTGCAACATTAAATCTAACAACAAAGGATTAAGATAATAAAGATACCACCACCTTTGGATTGTAATTAATTTATAATTTTCCATAATCATCATCATCATTTATTATATTAATTGATGATTAATTATCGTTATCATCATTATCATCTTAATTGATTCATTCAGATTTAGGTCTGAATTCATAAATTAATTAACCCTAAAAATTGACATTGACTTTTTCACCCATATATCAATGATGTTGATGATGACCAATCGATGGAGAATTCGATTTCGTAATTCGTTCATCACCGATGATGATGTTGATCAACAATCGGATGAGAATGGCCATCAGACAAATAACAAATTTCGAATGTGTGAAAATTGAAAAAAAAATTTCACAAAAAACTTTCGTAATCAGAATTTGTTTTTTCATTTATATCAAAAATAGATTTTTACATAAGACAAAATCATCCTTGACTATCATTACTGACTGCATCCGATGAATTTGAATTCTAAAATGAAATTTATTTAAAAAAAATTTATTGTCTAATCAATTCAAAGTCTAATTTAATGAGAATTCAACAACAACAAAAAAACTTTGGACCAAATATACGTTTGTAATGATTTTATCATCATTCAAGTCATAAATGAATGAATGGCCATTTGTTAATCATTTTTTTATGATTTCATTCTGGTTGTTTGATAAAAATTTTGATGGTTTGACAACCAACAGCCAACACAAAAAAAATGTCACATGTATCAATGAGTAAACCATACGTACGATTATCCCCCCCCGATTATATCGTGATGACGATTATTGCTACGACAACAAATTTTCGATGTAATGACGACCAAATGACGTTACATCCTGTACCAAAAAATTAATCTCATCATCATCACCATCTCTCCCATGGACAATCCTATTATTATTGTAAGTTTTATTATGATTTTGATTATTATTATTATATTTTTATCCTTTTTATCTCATAGTGATCTACAACAAAAAAAAATTACAATTAAAAGACGTTGATGAAAACGTTCTTAAATAGATACAAAAAGGATAGGAAAAAATTCCATATCGTATTGAACCGAAGAACGAACAAATCAAAGATTTTCGTAAAAGTGTTTTTGGGTAATCACATTTTTTATCGATGTTGGTTAGATATATTTTACTGATTCGAAATCGATTATTATTATCGAATTATTATTTAATGTTTATTGTTGTATTGTGCCGATTTTGGTCATCATTGTCATCATGTCAAATGTCAACAATTACCTGACCGTTGATATATTGACAGAATTTAAAGTAAATCATTGAAATTGATTTTCCAAAGAATCGGACGGAAAGAAAAAAAAATTCATTTGCAATTTTCCCATATCGAAAGCTGTATATTTGTTTATACGTTTAGATTTGATTCTTGCATTTGGGCATTCCGGATTTCCCTCATTTTATAACCAACATTATAATCATCATCATTGTCATTTGATTTAAGTAAGTTTTTCAATATGATTTTCATTGAAAGAATCGTAATTGTCATTTATTACTTTTCATTATAAATTATCGAGTATTTTCCCTCAAAAAAAACAAAAACAAAACAAAAAAACAATATGTTTTGTTGTTTTCCATTATTTCGGTTCAATCGATATAAATCAATCGAGATTATTTTTAGTCACTTACAAACAATATTTTTGCACTGTAATAAAAAAAATGCATCTTTTTTTTCCATATTTTTTTTCTTATCCTTAGGATTCGACTCTAATCGATCAACCAGAATCAAACTATTGAACACAATGATTTTATCAATAATTTGGAAATCGATATTATTCACGATTTTTTTGATCATTATTTCGAATGGTCAACCAATATCGACAATCGATCCGAATGATGATGATGATGATAGTAATGAACGAATTAAATGTGAAACAAATGATGATTGTTATCGTGATTCTATTATTGTTGGTTATCATTCAGATATGAAAGTTATTTGTGATCCAGATCTTAAAATTTGTATTATTGGTTTGGTTACCGATGATGGTAATGAAAATAATGCAACAACAGCAATTAATTATGATACAGTTTCATCTTCGTTGAATACTGATAATAATCCCAATGTAACAATGTTATCATCAACAACTAAATCAATGATAACAACAAAAAAATCCGATGATGATCAAACAAACGATGAAATCGAAGAGGTACCATATTTTGTTTGGATATTATTGACCATACCATTTATGTCGATTATAATTGTTGGTATTTTATGTGCAAAACGATTACAATCAAATGATCAGAATATTGAAGCAAATCTTAATCAATCACCAATAAATGGTTTACAAGTAGAAGAACTTCTTACACAACGTGAAATATTAAATTCAATAGCTGCATCATTAAAACCACCACCATCATATGAAAAAGCTACCGGTCAAATACCACCTAGTTATGAAACAGTATTACAAATGCTTCAAGAAAGACATCCATCATTGTTTTCATCATTACAAACATCATCATCACCATCATTAATGATGATGATGATGATGAATGATCAAAATTATAAAGATTCGAATCATCAAACTATCAATTCAGCATCATCAACAAATTCTGATTAAATTAATCTTGCAATGCTCAAAAGTCATTTTCACCTTTACTATGTAAATTAAAATTATTATTATTTTTTTTATCATTTATTTCAATAATAAAAAACAATTGATTTCTTTAAATTAATTAATCTAGCTAAAGTGATAATGAATCAGATTTAAAAATTTGTTCATAAATCCATTCACGTAATGCCAAAATATTTGTTGCTACTGATGGAAATTGATCTTCAGCACAACCAATTGCCCATGATGTTAATCCATATAATGACCATCGTGGTTGTGCTTCAATTGCATTCTTCATCATTAAATTATCTATACATTGAAATGGACCACCAGAATCACCTTCACATGTTCCACTACCACCTTCACCTAAACAGATCATTGTATCGGTAACATTGATAACTTCAGAATAACGTCGACGACAATCTTGATGATCAACAATATTTACACATACTTTTTGTAGAATTTTTGGAAATTCTCCATCTAATTTGAATATGATAATAAATTTGTAAATTTTAAAACATGAATCATTTGTAACAACAACAAACAAAAAAAACACCTTGTTCAAACTCACGAAATACAGTTTTTCCCCAACCAGTTGATATACACGTTGAAGGTTTTTTTTCAACAAACGATTCAATAATTCTGGTGCTATTTGTTGTTGGTGGTAATTGTGTAAAACATATTGGACGAATATTTGAATCAGGACCAAAATCAATTTCTTTTGATAATTTCAATAGACAAATATCCGGTTCAACGGTTTGAAAATTAAAATCATTATGTGCAAAAATATGACTAACATTGTAATCTAATTCATAACCTTCATCCATACTATAATCATATTCACCTAAACGTACACGATAATGATTTGGATCGTTCGAACCAAGAACACAATGTGCAGCCGTTAGAATCCAATGTGAATCGATTACAACACCACCACATGAATGATACCATTTATTCAGGATTTTATTATATCGACGTAATGAAATTTGCCATGGAAATTCATTTCGTTCAGCATTTTGACCACCAACAATTCTAGCAGATAATTCATTACTGTCATCATCATCATCATATGAACATTCATGTTGTGATTTAAGTATAAAATCAAATCTTGCTTCAAACGTTGTTTGATTTTGTGGTTTGGTTGAGAATTGATTATCATCAGTTGCTGTTGTCGTTGTTTTATTTGACATTATTATTCTGTTACGTTGATGTAAACTTTGTCCACAATAATGCCAATGTTTACTCATTAAATTATCTAAACGATCACATTGAAAAAATGATGTGATCATCATCATTATAAACACAATTAGAATGAAAAATTGTTTCATATTGATAAATTTTTTTTATGAAGAAAATTTCATGAAGTATCAATTTGAAATTTTTTTAACCATTTTTATATAACAAGTCAATCATCATTAATATCAAAAAAAAACGAAAAGATGTAAGAATTTTTTTTCTTTGTTTCACTAATAAAGATCATCATCATCATCATTGTCATATGATAATTATTTTAGATTACATTCCATTTTACTCTGGTTACTACTTAGATTTTTAATATTAGTGGATGACCAAAAAAAAAAAAATCGATGTCATTGCAATTGATGAACTTAACTCACAAAGGATAATCTCTTGGATACAACAACATCATTATAATTATTATTATAATTCATCATATGACCATAATTTAGTCGGCCATGTTCCAGATTTTATTAATTTTTGAGAAAAAAAGAAGAACATAATATTTCCATCGATTACCTTGTTCTGGTTAAACACTCTGTCTATTCAATTCGACTATAATAATCTTACTACTACTAATATCAATGAAAATAAATTTTAGGAATTCATGGAAAAATTTTCGTTTTTAAAGTTCTTCATGTAAACGATTAACAATGCCCAATAAACGTATAGCCGGTCCAAGATTTATCGATAATGAATGAATAAAATCATATCTTGTCAGTAACATTAATGATAAACCATTAATATCTTTTTCCAGAAATGTATCCGCTTCTTCTTTAAAACCAAGTGTAACCAAAAAACGATGAACATTTTCCGATGTCCATTCAGTAATTATATTTGGTAATGTTGTTAATGGTCCAAGATCAACATCCGGTCCAAAACGTTTGCTAAATGAAATGAAATGAAAATTAAATTTAAATTTATAAAAAAAATTGAGTTTTTTTCAACTTACCAATTATTACGTAATTCTGTATTTAACCATGCTTGAAAATGATAACAAATACTTTGTGATGGTTTTTTATTCCAAATTTCAAATGATGATGATGTATTATTAAGTTTACGTTTTTTTGTTGTTGTCAATTTATTTGATATTCCATCCGATGATTTAGCCAATGAAGTTGTCATATTTGTTTCGGTTGTCAATGTTGATGAAATTTTAGCCTCACCACTGATCGATGGTAGATTCTTTTGCATGGTTGAGGTAGATGATGATGATAATGTGGAAACTGAAGGAACCGTTGTTTCAACAATATCCATTGGCTCATCTTTGATTTTTTTGGATTTTTCAAATGTTGTTGAGGATGGCCCAAAACCATTTGTTGAATTATCATTTGAAGATGACTGAGTCATCGAAATTGTCGATGATTTCGAAGCAAACATTTGTTTTGGTTTATCCTAAAATTTTTTCAATCGAAAAAGTTATATCATTTTTAAAAAAGCTAAAAAACATACCAATGAATTCGAAGATTTGCTAATCAAACTTTTACCACCACCGCTACCACTAACATTGTTACCATTAAGTGATGATGTATTCTTCGCCGATTGAATCAATGATCGCAATTTAATTGGAGCAATAGTTACTTTTGGAGCTATTTTTACTGTGCTTGTTGATGATTTTGGATCTGAATCTGGCAACATATTCGATGATTCATTATTAACATCTGAGGTATTTTTTGATTCATTTTCCACTTGTGAATCGGTTGTTGTTGTTGATGATGATGATGGTTGTGATATATTATTCATAACTTGTGCTCGACATTTTTGACAAAGTGAATGAGCTGAACGAAAAAAAAATTTACTCTTACCATTTCAAATATTTTTCATTTTTTTTTTTTGAATCATACCTTTTTCACGATAACAATGAGCATGATAAGTACTTGAACAACTAATACACTGAACATACATTTCAGGCTTTTGTAAATGAAAAATAGAATAATATAAGAATTATAGGTAGATTCTGATGATGATGATACTTACATTTCTTTCATGATTATTACACATATAACAAATACTTTCCGGACGACAATTCGAACAAATCATACGAATAATACCAATTTTAGTATTAACATATGATCGAAAACATTTACCATGTGCAATACCATTACATTCCGAACAAACAATACGTGATTGTTTTGGAGATTTAAATGCTTTACTACAAACAATACATAATAATGATGATCGTTTCTTTTTAAATGTCGATGTCGATGATCCATCATTATTCTGTTCAGCAATTAATAAAGCTGATTGTTGTTCCGGTGTTAAAAATTTTCGTGATAAATGTTTTGGATGATTCATCATTACATCCGAATATGAATCCAAAAAATCTGGTCCAAGTGTTTTTCGTATTTTTTTCCGTTGACTTACACGTTGTGGTTGTATATCGGCCATTGTTTTTGATTTCAGTTCCGGTGATTTATTTGAAAAATTTTTTGTTGAAATTTTCATTACCAATGATTGTTGTTCTGATTCGTTTTTCATTTCCAATTTATTATCATTCATATTACTATCATTTGATTCGGTAAATGTTACATTAGAACTTTCATCATCATTTTGTTCAATAATAGAATCATCAGCATCATCAATTTGACTATCATCAGTATTATCTATTTCACCAATCGATAATAATGCTAATTTTCGATTACGACGATATAGATCATATGTATTACGAAAAGATTGTGTTATAGAATATTTTATCTGATCATTTGATGATTTAATACGTTCAATATGGCCTAAAATTTAGAAATCCAACAACAACAAAACAACAAAAAAGTAAAAATGATGAAATAATTTTAACGGATTATGTTAAAATAGCCGAATAATTTCTAATTCCTTCATCACAAATGTGTGTGTGTGTGCGTCATAAATTTGAGCACCGAACCAAAAGATAGAAAAGTATCGAAAAAAAAGATACTTTTCGAAATATAAAAAACAAAAACAAAAAACACTTACCATTTTTCAATGCTAATGGTATCAATTTTTCTTTCAATATTTGTACACTATAGTTAAGAAAATGTTTTTTTAAAATTTTAAAATGTTCTTGAATTTCTTCAATAGTAAAACCATCATTTTTATCTTCATGTATACGATTATTATCTCTTTCGAATGTATAACAATTTTTAAGAATATTAAAATAAGATGTACCAGGTATTTGACCATCATACATAATAATTGATTGACGATCATTATCACGTAACATACGTGGTGTACGATGTACAATCACATCATCATCATCATCATTATTCGTACCAATTTTCAATGGATATATTTTACCTTCGGCAATTGCAATAGACAATAATTCTTTAACAATTGTTGGCCGTTGTTTAATTATTTTACCAACACTTATTTTTTCACTTAATTCTTTTTGAATATTTTCAATTGTTGTTGGTTTTTCATCCAAATTCATTTCTGTTATTTTATGTATAATATCAATTTGTAATAATTGTCTTCGACCTTTCTTTTTGATAGGCATTTTCTTTCTTTTTTTTTATGTGGAAAAAATCAAAACAACAATGGAGAAAAAAAATTTGCAAACTTTCAATCAAAAAAAAAACTGCTACAATTATTATTAACCGTAAAAAATAAAATATTTTGATAATATATTCTGAAATGCAAATGTATCAATGTGAATAACAAAATATAAAATTGATACAAAAAAATGCGACGAAAATTTTAAATGTAAATAAGATGAATGGATGCAAAACAAAAAAATGCTACTTTTTATGAAGCAAATTCATTGAAACAAAATGATACAAATAATAATAATTTCGATCGATAATGGATGATGTTTTGTTTTTGATTTTGTTTTCAATAAAATAAAAGATTTTTATAAGATTGAGTTGTTAGAAATTCGGTATGGATCGAATCGATATTATTTTTATAAATATAAAATAACGTGAGGGTGATCGGCAAACACTCTTTTCTCAATATATTCTCCTCATTCTTGGCATTATTCATAGACACTATGATTTTTTTTTCTTTGAAAAGCTTTTGAAAAGGAAAAAAAATTCTCCATTTTTTTCTATTCGAACATTGTTATTTCCAAAATTTTCAAATTTTTTGCTTATTTTCGGTTGTGAAATTATTCTTGTTTCTATTTATGATCTTAATCGAAAAGATTCATTCAAATTCCATTTGGTTATATTATCGAAAATCTTTGATAATCAAAGACAATGTTATTGAAATAAGGTAGAAAACAATTATTATTATAATCAAGATTTGGCGATGTATTCCATGAATTTTTATCAATTCTATCAACTAATCATATTGTTAGATAAATAATCACACCATTATTTGAATTCTAAACATCATCGAATTGATTTTAACAGAATCCATGCCATAAATGATAATCAACAAAATACTCATATCGATACTATCGATAGTTGTCGAGTTGAAGCGTGCTGCCATATGAAAAATTTTGGAAAAAAAAAGATTCGAATTCAATTTGTTGATAATATTGAAAAATTTGTTCATTTTCAAAACGTTTTAAAAGCTAAAAACAATGGTCTGGCCACATAAAAGTGGTTTCGGTATTAAACTGGTACGTATGGGCTGTAAAAATCGTCCATATTATCAAATTGGTGCAATGCCATCACGACGACGTACCGGATTATTACCGGACGAAGTAATCGGTTCATTGGATCCGGTACCAAATGAACGTAATGAAATTGTTGCCGCTGTCGATCTAAGTCGTCTTTCATATTGGATGGGACGTGGTGCTCGTCTTAGTGTTGGAATGCAAACATTACTTGGTAATGATGAAAAAAATAATTCTTCCCCATTTTATCATTTACTCATCAATCAAAAAAATTCTTAAATTTAAAATTTTGTTTTGTTTTTTCAGGTTTAGCCGGATGGACACCTGTTCCACCACATGTTTACATCAAAGCTAAACAAGAACGTGATCAAATGTTTAAAAAGATTCAACAACAACATCAACAGCAGCCGCAAGAATCCGATGGTGATGGCGGTGATAATGGTGAAGAGAAAATCGAAATCGAAAGTATATTACCTAAACGATTACCATTCTGAATCGATCATTTTCGCTTTTTTTTTGTAAATAACAATGGATAAATTTGAAACAAAACAAAACATAAAAAAATTGATAAAATGAAAAAAAAGAATTGTTTATTTAAAATCATCAATTTGTTGTTGTTAATAGCAGAATATTATTATTTTTTTGTAATCTTGTTTAGAATAGAAAAAAAACACTGATTTATAATTTGAAAATTATTTACATAAAATCAATTAATTAATTAGAGTTTAGAGCCGAAGAGAAAGAAAAAAATTCTGTTGTTGTTTTTCACAAATTTATATCATCATCATCAATTTTTTTTGAATGTGTGGATGTGTTTGTGTTGAATGATTTTGGGCAAAAGAAAAACTCAAATTTTGTTGTGCAGTTTGAAAATTTTTTTTTCCGATTTACCTGGTCCTATACTAGGTTTTCATTTTAAAAAATCTATGGAAAAAATTATCAATTTGAAAAGTTGAAATCCTATTCAAAAGCAGTTTTCACTCAATCAATCAATCAATAGCTAGCTAATGTGTGTGTGTGATTGTGGTGTAATGTAAAATTTGAAGACAAATTGTCAAACGCAAATTAATATATATTATATGGTGGGTGAGGTAATGAGCTAAATCAAATTAAACAATTATCATTATTGTTTCATGTTGTTGCTGTTGGTGGTAGTGATGGTGGTGATGATTATTGATGGCGATAAAATATCATATATTCGGATAAACTTAAATGCCGGTTGAAGAAAATGATTGAAAGAAGAAGAAAAAAAAATCATAACGAAAATACAGCAAAAAGAAGTTAAATAACGAAGAACAAAATTGAATTAGAAGAAAAAAAAAATAAAACAAGATCAATATGGAATCATTTATTGATGATGATTGAATGAATGAATGAAAATGTTGCTCATTTCCATGCTAATATAATGATGATGAGGTGAGAGAAAAAAATACAACGGTCATTCCTAAAATATTGATGATGATGATGGCCGTGATTGGCGAAATTTGAGAATCGGTCGATAACCTTTTCCTAAAAAAGATTATCATTTTAACCATCTTCTTGTGGTGGTGTATACCATCCTATATTCAATAATCAAAGATTTATTTATAAAATCCATTCCAAAACAAAAATCCAAAAAACATACCACTTTTTTCATGTATAGAAACTAAAGAACGGAAAGACTGTTGTGCTCTTGCAAGGCTATATTGGCCCTGGAAAAAAAATTATAACAAACAATAGAAATCGGATTAATATTTAAGGATATTGAAAATGTCAAAAACAACAACAACAACATTCATTATTCTTACCCGATGTCCATTAAATATTATTCTTGCTTTTCCTTTGACCAATGTTGCTGAGATCTGTAAGATAATCGCTTCCATTGAATATGCGCTACTCCATCCCTATATCAATGTGGTGAAAAAAATTTGAGAAATTTTTATTTATTTATCAATGACAAAATGCCTGTACGGTACCTGTTTCGTAAGCAATTCCATACATAATGCTCCACCACCTAATACATAACCACCAGATATAAATGGTGATGCCACCCGAATAAATGGTGGCTCAAATGGATAATTTTCTTTGAATGTTACATTCAATGTAATATGATCATGGCCTTCTTTATCTTTTAATGCTTGTAAATCACTATGCAGTTGTGAATCGGGATCAACTTTTTTCAGATGTACATTCCATTCATAAAGATTATCATTAACCAGATGTACTTCGAATACTTTGCGTTTAAAACTATCGCAACGATATATATCACGTAATTCTTTCATCAAACGATCAGTAGCTTGTACTGAAAAACTATAATTTCCATTTTGAAAAAATTGATGATGACTTTGTCGTATACGTTCTAAATGCGCCCAATTATCCGAACTAATACCATCGGAATTATTTTGTTCATTTTGTGTTTCATCTTCCATTTCTATATGCATATCGGTTTCATCATCATCATCTTCATCATCATCATCTTCGGCTTCATTATTATCACCACCACCGTTAGATTTTAATTCATCAGAATGATTAACAGTACCATTCGAACTAGCAACCATTTCATTACCACTTGTTGAAGAGATTGAACTTTGATGATGATTATTATTATTGGCAGAGATGATACCATTAGACATTATTGTTTCTTGTTGCTGTTGTGTTGTTGTATTCATTTTTGTCGTTGTCATTTTTGACAATGAATTCAATGATGTAATTGATGATGTTGATGTTGATGAACTTGATGATACATGATTCGATAATATTGATGATGATGATGATGATGTTTCTCTCGAAGAAGATTTATCCATCATCGATACAGAATTATTTAAAGATTGATCAATAGCACCATTACTTGATGATGTTATTGATGAAAATGGCATTGTAAATGTTGTTGTTGATGATGAATCAATCATTGATGATGATGATGATGCTTTCACATTATTATTATTATTATTATTATTATTATTTATATTTTGTTGATGATAAAGGCGTTGATTCAATATGTTTGTCGTAATATTTGGATTCAACCAAAGATGATTCAATTTGGTCAATTCATCCATTGGTTTTGGAATGGAAAAATGATTGCAAAGATGTTCCAATAGGATAGCAACCTGACGTAAAATCTATAAAAAGAATAATCAGATATCATTTGAAAAAATTGAAAAAATTTACATTTTTTTCACTTACAAAATTATTATTATCAGTTGTTGATGTTAATGTTTGTAATGTTGGTGAAATATCATCCGATTCAGAAAACCAAACAGGTGGATCATGTGGATAAGTTTCAGTTATATTGGCATTGATTATAAATTTTTTTTCCAATGATAATAATTTCTCATCATCATTATTATTATTATTATTATTACGAACAATAAACAAACAAGAAATTTCATCCACAGTAGCTAATGTAACACGAAATAATGGATGTGTACGAGGAAATATTTCGCTTAATGATTTTACATCAGATTTTAATCTTGCCAAACAGGCCATTGTATTTCTTTCTTTTTCTTTTTTTTAAATTCCAATAACCAAGATGTGATTCTAAAAAAATAAAAATAAAAATTATTTTTACTTAAAATGAGGATTGCTCCCAATTATTTTTTCTTTGGAAAAATACTCTTTAAAAGAAACCTAAACCCGTCATCAGAAAAAGAAAATAAAAATCAAACGCATTTAATCCTAGATGATAACAAAATCAATCAATCAAATCAATAAATTTTGAAAGAAAAAAACTCATTGATGACGACAATAGATATCGAATCATCTATAGATGCAAAATTTGTTGTTGTCTAAATCTTCAACAGAAACAAACAAACAAACAAAAAATCAAAATGATTTCATTCACAATTGAGATCATCAGATTCATCAATATATATTATTGAGATAATGAGTATTAAAAAAAAGCTTAATAATGATCATCGAATATACAGCTGTTGTTGACATTTGATTTTTTTCAATTTTGAATATTCGAATTGAATATCAGATTGAAAGCAACAACAACAACAACAACAACAACAAAATTCAAATCATTCTTTGTTGAAATGACGTTTTAAATTTCTTCAACAAAAAAAAACTTGGAATCGAATAATTTTTTTTTTGAAAAATGATTATTATGGAATCTATGTACGGGACGATATTGTTTTTTGGGAAAACAAAAAATTTTTTTTTGCTCAATTTCGGTGTTTACATAAAAAATGACTTATTACATTATGTCATTTTTTCAGATCAGATTAAGATTCTAAATTATCAAAATGACAGGAAAAAAATGATGATTATTTACCTTATCAATTTCAATTAATTCGGGTTCACCATCAACAATAACAACAACAAAAAAATCGAATCTTTTAAATGTTCGAATGTTTTCAACAACCAAAAAAAAACTTCAAAATGTTGATCTTCAACAAAACGAAATCATTCAGGAAAAAAATCGTTCTGAACACTGGTCTTCGATTAAGAAAAAACAATCCTACACCATCTAGCGTGATGCTTTTTGTTGTAAATTCAAAATAAAACAAACAAACAAACAAAATTAATTTTTTTTTTAATTTAATAAAATTTCATTTCATCATTGAGCACAAACACTTATATTAAAAAATCATAAAAACAACAACAACAAACGCACGAAACAAACGAAAAAAAAATGAATCGAATTGAATTGGCAAACGCACAAAACAACAGCAGAAAAGAAAAGCTTACAAGCAAAAAGGCAGTTTTGTTTGGTTTAAATGAAATGAAAATTTTTTTTTTTTGATTCGCAAAAAAAAAAATAGAAAGTCTTTCACACACACACACACACAAAGACTGATCATTTTTAAGGTAGTAGCATTGGTCAATGATAGGATTTTAGCATTCATGATTTTTTTTTTCCTGACAACCGTACAAATATGTCGTATTCGAATGATCATTTTCGATTTCGTTTTTGATTTCGATTTCGATTTCATTTTGTTTTGTTTTTTTTTTTGAAAAAAATTCTCTGATTCAATTTATCAAAAACAATTATGGATTACGATTTCGATGATGATGATGAAGGATACTCAGATCATAGAGATGATAGTAAGTCTTATTTTTTTTCAAAAAAGCAAAAATTTTTATTAAAATTTTTATTTTAGAATACTATTTTCTATTGTCAAAATCTTCGAAAGAACAGCGAATATTGCTTGATAAATTTATTAATTTTTGTGTTGCACATTATGATAATGAGTTTAATGATAATCTTGATCCATTCATTTATCTCTCTACACTTATTGAATCGGATCCAGAATTTATAGCAAAAATTTTAAATGATTATTGTCTAATTCAACATTGTAATAATCAACGTATCTTCGTATGTCATCCTAATAAAATACCTCGTTGTTTTTGCTATTTAACACCAATACATGTGTTTGCCATAGTCGAAAATGGTGAAAAATTTTTGGAAGTTTTTATTCAACGATTTCCTCATTTAAATCTTGATCAAAAAGTTGATTTTGTTTGCTCACCGAATGATATGGCATTCGATATTTCTCCATTATGGATTGCTACATTATTAGGCAAAACTAATCAAATGAATTTTTTATTAAAATCTGGTGCCGATCCAAATACGATTAGTTCAACTGGTTCTACACCAATACGATTATGTTGTGGAATTTCTGAAAATTTATCCCAAGATGAAAGAATTATATTGTTAGAATTATTATTGAACCATAAAGCTGATATAAATAAACCGAATATACTACGAAATACACCGCTCATGTTAGCCAGTTATAATGGACAGGAAAAAATTGTTAAATTTCTTTTGGACAATGGTGCTAATCCTAATCAAGCTGCTTATTGTGGTGGTACACCACTTCATTTTGCTGTCGAAATTGGCAATATTTCAATAATCAAAATGTTATTAGAGCATGGTGCAACATTACAACCGGATATTAGTGGATTAACACCGTTATTTTTAGCCGCTTTTAAAAATTCATTATCAGTTGTCGATTTCTTAACATCATGGGAAGAAAAATCAAATCGATTAACTATTGAAAATCTTATTATTATTTATGAATTATTAGCTGTTGGCTATTGTATAGATTCGAATGATAATAATGATTATAATGATGAACCAATGAGAAATTTTCTTCGTTCTGCATATCATTTACGATATTTACCATTAAATTATGATGGAAATTTGATTGATCATATTTTATTGTCCGAATGTGAAGATCCAAATGTTTTGCCTGTTCGACCAAAAAATATTCATCATGCACGTTTTGCATATGATTTTATTCAAGAAACACAAACATTAGAACAATTTTTAGCTATTGAAAATGATTCCGTACTTCTTCATTATGAATGTTTATTCGCATTGGAACGTTTTTTCATCAATGATTGTGTTAAATTGGCCAAATGTTTGAACAAAATGGGACATATTTTTATTAAAAAATTTCAAAAACATGATACAGCATTAGAATTATGGGCACGTTCAATACGAATATTAATCAAATTAAAAGTATTTGTTGCTGATGATTTTCGTTTATATTTGGAACATCTTAATTGGAATATATTTCAACCGGAAAAATTTCAATATTGGAAAGCATTATTTGAATTGGCAATCCAATATTTAGAATCATTTCCATTACCAAATGGTTTACAAGCAATGTCATTTCAATTGGATATACATGAACTTTGTCAAGCTGAACATTTTACATTGAACGATGTTAAAGTTGATGATTTATTTGCTAAACCTGGTAATCGATCAAAATTACCATCTGCCGAATCAAAAGATATTCATGTTGTATTGGATATTGTTTGTTCGATCATATTTTATTTTGCAAAGGTATGTTTTTTATTTAATGATATGATTAATTTTAATTTTAAATAATTTAATTTGTTTTATTTATTTTTAAAGCATTATAATGATTTAGGTGATGTTGAACAAAAAGTTATTGAAGGAATAATCCGAAAATTTTTAAAATTAAACTATACAAATCTAGATTATCGTCGTCATATGATTCATGCAATATTTAGCTATAATAATTGGAGGTAAATATGATGTGTTTGGAGATTAATTAATTTAAAATTTTAAAATTTTTTATTTTTCTATTTCAATAGTGTGGATATTTTTCTTTTGAAATCAATAACCAAATTATTATTAAAATGTGGTGCCAATACAAATGTATATGATATAATATATAATACACCATTACATTATCTATCATTTTATGGTCATGAAAATCAACTATCTATACGTGAATTAACACCAATATTTAAAGATTTAGTTAATCATATTTATTATGGAAAATATGTTCGTAATGCTTTACATCATTTTGATTATGCTGATTTACAATCAGTTCATTTGGATGCTGTTAATATTTATAATCAAACAGCATTTCATATTTATCCAAATCTAATGTATTGTTCAAAATATTCGGATATAAATCTATTTCCACTTAAATGTTTAGCAGCACGTGTATTACATCGAATGTTTTTTCGATGTGGTGATTGTAAAACTGTTAAAAATGATGAAAATGCAAAAGATGATGTCAGTATGCATGTTTATAATCAATTAGATGATTGGTTTTTAGAATTACAAGATGTTCCATCATATATAGTATTGAATGAATCATTGAAAAATACAATGAAAAATCATTTACCATTACATGAAGGATTACCATATAAGGCAAAAGAAATATGGAAATTGATCGATACATTTAGTGAACGTTTGGGAATATCGGCAAAACTAGTTGAATTTATTGAATTACATGGCCCTTGTAAATTTGTACATCTCATCGAATAATTTGATTCTAATATTTGTGATCGAAACATAAATATGTGATAAATTTACATTGATAAAAAACTATTTTCATTTTAATTTTACATAATTCCTTTCAAATAATCACTCAAAACTTTTGTTGTTGTTGTTCAAAATAAAAAAAATATCTTTAGTTAACAATAAAATTAACATTTTTGTTTGTTTGTTTCATTTCATTTGATGAATATCATTAATATTCAGGTATTCAATATAGAGAGAATAGGTCACTTATGCGCTTCAACATATCAACCAACCAACCAACCAACCAAAAAAATCAGGTCAAATTCAATCCATCCACATTCAATTCAATTCGAGAATTTTCACAACAGTGAACCAACAAAATGCGAAAACTATGTCAAACCACTCCTGGATATGGACCATTCTTCACTAATTACTCATAATCGGACCAAAATGTGGCCATAGACAAATGAATATCACAAAACACCACCACCCATACGATAAGAGAATGTTTTTATGTTCAACGTCAAGAAAAAAGGATTAAAAAATGGATTTTTTTCTGTTTTGTTTCATTCATTTAACATTTAGCTTGTAAATGGAAAGTATCTCTCTCTCTCGAAAGTTTATAAAGTGATTCGAACGAAATCTAATCGATTGATCTTGATTTTTTGATTTGTCTATATGTTTATAACGGCTATCTATCGATTTATCGAATGATCAACAACAGTTTTTTTTCTGAATTGTGATTAAATCAATCATTAATCGTCCGAAAATTTCATTTGTGTGTGATTTTTACAAATAATTTGATGGTCATCAATTGAAAAATTAACTGAAAATTCTTTTTCCAAATCTGTAAGAATTCAGCAACAAAAAAAAAACTAACCGAAAAAAATGCCCATAGCTAAAGATAAATGTATCTGTCAGATTTGTATTTGTGGGTATGTTTTATTTCAAATTTTTTTCAAAATAATTTTTGACAAATTTTACATCATTTGAATTGCCAAAAAACTTTTAACTTTGCAAGGCAAATCCTAAAATATCATAATTAATCATAATCATAGAATCTGCATAGATATGTTGTTTTTTGGGACAACTAATAAATAACAAACAAAAAATCCTTTGTTTTTTTCTCGCTTTCCCAATCCAATGAAATCCAATGTGAAACGAGGTCATCATCATTGATATGAAGAATGATCATGATGATGATTATCAGTATTTACAACCAAATTCTGATTATTTTCTATAGTTTTTTGTTTAGGTTGTTTATATCATAAAAATGTTGACATTTTCTTTTGATCTAGATATTCATTTTTGTTCGGAGAATCGGTTGATTGTATATTGTGAATGTTATCTTTGTTGTTTTCGGTTGCAAGGGTTGTTTCATTTGTTTCATTTTCATTGTTTTCATTTTGTCTCATCATCATTGCTACTGATTAGTTTGACATGACCAATAATAATAATATTTCATATATTTAGGTCAATTCTTGTAAGGGGTACATCATAATTCATCATCAAAACTCATTTCACTCTATAGGATTTATGCACATCACGTACATTTTTTTTTTTTTAAATCCATTTTTCTTCTTTTTTTGTTTTAAATATTGCAACAGACGGTAGCAATTCAATATCCGAAACAAAATAATAATAATAATGATGATGATGACCACCGAATAATTTTTTTTTTCTTCAATAAAATTGTATGAATTTTATAAACTTTAGACTATAACTACAGTGAGGTTAGGTTGATGACTATGACTATGGCTATGACTATGATTCATAGTTTAGTGAGGTTAGGTTGATGACAATGACTATGGCTATGGCTATGATTCATAGTTCAGTGAGGTTAGGTTGATGACAATGACTATGAATATGGCTGTGATTCATAGCTCAGTGAGGTTAGGTTGATGACTATTACAAAAAAAAATTCAACCTTACAATTTTTTTAAAAATAAATATCATTTATTTATATTTGTATTTATATTTTTAGTTATAATAATAATCATAATTATAATCATTGTAATTATAATTTTTATTATTATGCAATACCTAAAATAGGTAATCATTATCATTATCATGTATAAATAAACTACCGGTTCTAACCGGGTTCGAATTTTTTTTCCTTGAATGGATCTAATCTTTAGTTGTTTTTTTCCTGTCCAAATGCAATCTTTGCAACAACAATATTCTGATGACCTAGATATTCTACCTAACTATTTTGTTTTTGTTGTTGATTAACACATACCGAAAGATCATTTGTCGAATGGATTAGGAAAATTAGTTTTCAGTAACTTCTTTTCTTTTATTGTTGTTGTTTAGTTATTTTCAAGTTACATAATTATTACTACCCGAATCATCATCATTTACATTCGCGAGTGATTTTATTGCACACAATTCGAGATACGACAAACCAAGATACGAACCAAACAAAAAAAAATCAGTGTAATAATTCTTGACAAGAGGAAAAAACAACAAAATTATCTTCTGTATCCAGAATTTTTGATACAAATTTTTACAAACGGAAGAAACAAAATTGAGATAAATAATTTATCAACAACTGGTAGGAAGAAGGGTTCATCACCACTTTTTGTTACTAAACAATTCACGGTGTCAGTGAACCGAATTTTTTAAAACATTTAATTGGATGTAAAAGAGTAATGAAAATATTCAGCAGGAATTTCGGATTCCATTGAATCATCAAGGGGATTAATTCTTTTCTGCCTCGTACATGATTATAATAATAATGTCCAATCAAATGATGATTGACTTGACCAATATGATTATTTTAGGACAATATGCGTAGCACACATGCAGACAGATCAAAAAAAGCCACAAACGAAAGAATATTCTCTTCCTATTCTGTTTATATATAGGAGGAGAGGGTTTGGTCATTTTCAATTAATTGGAACTGGTAATATTCATTGTCCATTTTGACCACCCATTTTTTTTATTCTATTGTGGTTTGATTCTGGTTACCTGGAGATAATCTTTGTTTCGTTTTGCTGTGTTTTGCTTTGTTTTGTTTGTTGTTATTGTCCACTTTTCACAAATTTCACTCAATTTATGATGAGCAATTTATAAAAGGTAACAAAAATAATTAAAAGCTGACAAAAAAAACTGGTGTGATTTCATTTCATCATTGACATTTGAAAAGTTTATTTCGATTTTTGTTTGTTTCAATTTTTTTTTACCGTTTTTTCTCGTTTTATTCATTCATACATTTTAGACGCCATAATTGTGCAGCATTTGAACAACAACATAATAATCGATTAATACTTGATTCAGGTGGTAAAGTGAAAATCCATCAATCGAATGATGATGATGATGCCATTGAATTACCGGTTATAATTGAAAAAACAAATGTTGATGATTATGCTGAATCGATATTGGATGATTTATCAACAAATAATAATCGATCGATTGAACAAACAACAACAAAACGAACAAAATTAATTTGTCATAAACATTTGGATAATAATAATATTTCAAGTGATCAATTTGTAGTTCCTATTAATGAATCTGATGATTTCAAAATGAAATCTACAAATGATGATAAACAACAACAACAACAAAGTGCTCAAGAAAATGATGAAAGATCATCATATAGTGAATGTTTAATTAATATGGATGAACAAAATCAAACTTCATTATTAAATCGTGGAAGACAAACATGGAAAACATCACCCGAACAAGTTGAAGAATTAACACGTTCATTATCACGTATTCGTAATGATGAACATGGTAATCATCGTGCAACAACAACAACAAAAACATATCAAAAATCTAAAACAAAACAGGCGACAAAAAAATCAAATCCAAAAGAATCGAAATCAAAAGTAAAAGATTCAAAAAGAAATCAACAACAACAACAACAACAACCGCAATTTATGATGCCAATACGTGTTGTATCGACAACACGTATCGTGAATTCAATGACCGAAGATGATCCAACACCGACAACAACAAACAACAATCCAACCGCAACAACAGGATTTTTACCACCAATTACCGGTTTTAGTGATACAGATTCATCATTTAGTAGTAATGTTTGTTCAAGTGGTGATGACTGTGATAAAATACATTGTATTTGTGAAACATTGAAAAAAACACATCTTCAAGAGCATCATCATCATCCGCATCATCATGATCCTCACCATCAACAACCATTAATCGATAATGATTATGATGATTATCAACAACAACAACATCAACAACAATATCATCAATCCGAGAATGGTATAAATTTTATCAATATAGATAATACAAATAATAATGCTGATAATTGGATAGTCGTACGTCCAAAACGATTACGGCCACAAGATAATCTACGATTAGAAGGACAAATGGAATTAGAAACAACATTTCGTTCAACATATGGACGACAATCGGTTGGTAGCGATAAATCAAAACGTTCGATTAATAGTCAAAATAGTCAACAACAACAACTGTATTTTAATACCAGACGTGGTCGTCATCATGTTGGTAGTCAACCATTATTACGTTCAGCAACAAATAAACGTAAAATAATAAGAAATCGACCAAAAACTTGTCTAAAAACTGGTGGACATGGTTATTGGTCAACAAATTATCATGATGCATATAAAAATTTTACTATTGTTGATGGTCAGGCAAAAACTGTTTCGGATTCAAATAATCGTATTAAATTGCCAAAAGTTATATCACGAACAACAATGATGATGAATGAAGAAAAAAATCGTTGCAAATATGATTTGGATGATAATCAGGCTGCAACAACAAAACCGCTGCGTATGGTTGATGGTGAAGAGATAAAAAAATTTGAAAAAAAATCCTATGTACAAACATCCGATGGACAAGGTGAAATGATGGCTGAAAAACTTGTACGAAAAGTTCGTTGTGGTGGTGGTGGTGATCGACCCTCAAAATCAAAGAAAAATGTTCATCATGATGATGATAATCAAGATGATAAAGCAAATGAAGAAAGAATTGATGATCAAATCGAACGTGAAGAAGATCCATTATTGCAACAAAAACAACCGATAATGAAATATCGTCCATACGATGCATATCAAGTTGATCATATTAAAGATCTTGGTTTATTAGAAATGAAATCAAATCAAGATAATGATAATCAAATTCATAATGATATTATTCGTCAAACAGATGATTCAAATCAAAATTATCGATCACATGTTCGTCGATTACATGAAACATCAGATGATTTTCATATATTAACCGGTGGTCATCGTATAAATGGTACGATAGTACCATTAAATAAACCAACAAAAACCAAAAGTCAACCATCAAAAACTGATGATCAACATCCAATGACAACAATGGTTATAAATGGTCATTCAGTAATGGCAGGTACACGTAAACCATTCATATTACCACAACGTATTAATCGACATAAAAATGAAAGTTCAATACCAATGTTTGATGTTGGTGATAATTCGGATTTATCATATCGAAAAAATCGTCAAGGATCTGGACAAAGACGACAACACCAACAACAACAACCTGAACGTAAACGTACAGCTGGATTACGAACACAACGATCTGGACGACGACGAAATCTATTTCGACAATCAAGTGATTCAATTTTTGTTCAACAACCCGATTCCAGTTCAAATTCAAATAAACAAAATGTTATTGAACACCAACAACAACAACCAAAACAAAATACTGAAATTGATAAAAAAACAACATATAAAATGGAATATGGTGATCGAAGTCTTTATTGTCCAGCATTGGATGTTGTCAATAATTCTACTACTAATGGTCAAAATATAAATTATCCATATAAAAAAACAAATGAAATTGGTGGCCATAAATATTATAATACCGTAGACAAATAAATGATAGAATTTTAGCCAAAAAATTTTTTTGATTATCATTTTATTTTGAATGATGTTTTAGGTATACAAAAAAAGAAAATCGATATGTTTACACCATTTACACTCATTTTTTTTGGAAACATGTTTTTTTTTTGAATTTGGATCTGATTATTAATCTTTTTCTTTTTTTTTGCTTTATTCTGATTTTGTGAAATGAAATTTTCGCCTTTTGCTTTCGCTTTTCGACATTTGATATGAAACACGCACAAACAAGACAAGTAAACATTATTATCGATTTAATTTTTGATTTTTGATTTTTTTTTTGTTCTTGAATAAAATGATAAACCTATTTGTTCATTGAAATTTTCAATTTAGCCATAATTGATTCAATTTTTTCACATGCTTTTTCTTTTGAATTTGCCCGTGCAATACGTTCACCTGCTTTTCGACAACGTTGTTGTATTTGTTCATTGGAAAATATCTCGTCGATTGTTTTGTTTAATTCACCATCTTTAAAATAATAAGGATTCATACGACTCCCGTAACCTTTTTCCAGAATTCTTTGTGCATTATCATATTGATCACCAAATAATGGCATAACAATCATTGGTTTACCAAATGAAAATGTTTCGGTTACTGTATTATTACCACCATGTGTAATAACCATATCGACTAATGGTAGGATGTTTGTCTGCGGCAGAAATGCTTTTCCCCACATATTATCAGCCAATTGATATTGATCACTGGCTGGACCCATTGATATAATAAATTTATGTGGTGATTTCGATAATTCCTTAACAAGTTTTTTCATCAAATCAATATCATAACAACCAATTGATCCCATTGATAAATAAATTAATTTATCGCCAGGTTTTATTTTTGCTTTAAATTCTTCAGGTAATTCAAATAATTCATTTGCTTCACGACAAAATGCATCAACACGAATATGATTATCAGGTAATGTTACTGTATCGGAATAATCTAATTCTTCTGGATAACCATAAATATTCATATAAGGTGATATGAATGTAAATTTTCCAGAAGTTTCAGAATAACCAAATTCTTTATTAATTTGATTTTGACCATCAATAAATCCTACTGTAGAAGCTTCTTCCATTTTTTCAAATTCATCCCATCCAGTTCGATCATCACTTGGATATCCTTTTTTTTGACAACAATAACAATAAACACTAAAAAAAAATTTGATTTTTATGTAATCTGTAATCATACCTGAAGATCTTGGTGGAAGATCCGGTGTTTCATATAACATTCGTGGACATGGACTGCATAGAAATGCCCATGGTATTTTTCCAAACAAAATACATGGTGGTACAACAAATTGATCCATAATAATTAGATCAGGTTTTTCTTTTTCGATTATATCGACAAGATGTGGATGTTGATCTTTGACACTTTCAAACATTAAATTCATAGCTTCATTATCACCACCAATTTTAAAGATGTTTAATTTTTCTATTGATGGTTTACCAGATAATGCACCATCTTCACGAAATTTTTTCCAAATCGATGACATTGCTTTGCATGGATGTTCATCGGATTTTTCATTACCATTTTTTTCCATTATTTCTTTCACTCGAGCAATTTTCATTACAATTTCTTTGAAGCCATATTTTTCATAGGTTCCAGCAAAAAATTCGTTAGTCAAAAATATCACATCATGTCCACGTTTTTTTAATGGTTGTGCCAACCCAACACAGGCATTAACATGGCCAACACCATCGACAGCAAGGAAAATTATCTTCAGACGTTGATCATTCACCATTTTTTCATGAAAATTTTTCGAGTATGAATTGATTTTCCTGTTCAAAATTGATGTGATTTTCTTTCTATTGAATCAAAAAAATAACCTTAAAGTTTTTCAATTTATATATCTTGAATTCATCAAAACCAATTTGATTTTCGATCATTCGATCATGTTTTTTTTTGTTATCAATAAAATATTCATTCATTTACGTTTAATCATTTTGTACTTCGAACATCTTTATTAAATGAAAAATCATCAATTTTTCTTCTTCTTTCTTCTTTTTATCAAACCTGATAAGATTAGAGTTGATAGAAAAGAACAGGAATGTAATCTTCGATTACATTAATCAATCCGTAATTAACAATATTTTAATATTGATTTTCTAAATATTTTTCTTAAATGAATTACCACTTTTTGATGTTTATCATTTTATTGTCACAGATTGAAAATTGAGTTTTTTTTTGTTTGTTGTTTTTGCAAAAATTATGGAACAAATGATGCACCTAATTTTTTAAGTTCAATATTTTCTCCCCTTTGTAAATTGAAATCTATTTCGACAATCAAGGGTTTCAATTTTTGTCTAACCGGATTCGATATATAAAACAAAACAAAAAAACAAGACAAGTAAACATTATTATTATTATTATGAATCTGAAGTAATTGATTTAGTTTTTTATTTTTGGATAAAATGATAAACCTATTTATTCATTGAAATTTTCAATTTAGCCATAATTGATTCAATTTTTTCACATGCTTTTTCTTTTGAATTTGCCCGGGCAATACGTTCACCTGCTTTTCGACAACGTTGCTGTATTTGTTCATTGGAAAATATATCATCAATCATTTTGTTTAATTCGCCATCTTTAAAATAATAAGGATTCATACGACTTCCATAACCTTTTTCCAGAATTCTTTGTGCATTATCATATTGATCACCAAATAATGGCATAACGATCATTGGTTTACCAAATGAAAATGTTTCGGTTACTGTATTATTACCACCATGTGTAATAACCATATCGACTAATGGTATGACTTTAGTCTGAGGCAGAAAAGCTTTTCCCCACATATTATCAGCCAATTGATATTGATCATTTGCTGGACCCATTGATACGATAAATTTATGCGGTGATTTCGATAATTCATTGACAAGTTTTTTCATCAAATCAATATCAAAACAACCAATTGATCCCATTGATAAATAAATTAATTTATCACCAGGTTTTATTTTTGCTTTAAATTCTTCGGGTAATTCAAAATTTTCTGCTGCTTCACGACAAAATGCATCAACACGAATATGATTATCAGGTAATGGTACAGTATCTGAATAATCTAACTCTTCTGGATAGCCATAAATATTTATATAAGGTGATTTAAATTTAAATTCTTCTCTAGTTACTTCAGGATAACCAAATTCTTTATTGATTAGATTTTGGCCATAAAGAAATCCTTGTGTAAAAGCTTCTTCCATTTTGGCTTCAAATTCTTTCCATCCAGTACGATCATCACTTGGATATCCTTTTTTTATAACAATAACAATAAAGAAACATGTTAATCAAGGCAAAACTTAAATTCAATGAGACTTGTGATCATACCTGAAGTCAATGGTGGAAGATCAGGAGTTTCATATAACATTCGTGGACATGGACTGCATAAAAATGCCCATGGTATTTTTCCATACAAAATACACGGTGGTAAAACGATTTGATCCATAATAAATAGATCAGGTTTTTCTTTTTCGATTATTTCGATAAGCTGTGGATGTTGATCTTTGACACCTTCAAACATCATATTAATAATTTCATTTCCACTATCAGGTTTAAAGTTTTTTATTTTTTCTATTGATGGTTTACCCGATAATGTACCATTTTCACGTAATTTATTCCAAACAGATGACATTGCTTTCGATGGATGTTCATCGGATTTTTCATTACCTTTTTTTTCCATTATTTCTTTTACTTTAGCACTTTTCAATACAATTTCTTTGAAACCATATTTTTCATAAGTTCCAGCAAAAAAATCGTTAGTCAAAAATATCACATCATGTCCACGTTTTTTTAATGGTTGTGCCAAACCAACACAGGCATTAACATGGCCAACACCATCTACAGCAATAAAAAATATCTTCAAACGTTGATCATTCACCATCGTTTTTTTTCGGTTGAAAATTTTTCAAATATGAATTGATTTTCCGGTTCAAAATTGATGTGATTTTTCTGTTTGAATTCAAAAGCTTTACAGTCTTTGATTTATATATCAAAACCAAAATCAAATCAAATTTGATTTTCGATCATTTGATCGTCTTATCAATAAAATATCCAATCATTAGCGCTTAATTTTTTGCACTTTGAAAAATTTTTGTACTTTGAAAAATATTTTTACACCAATAGAACATCTTGATTATTAATTTTCTTCATATATTTCAATCAAACCCAAGATAAGATTGTAACCGGATTTTAATCTTCACATCAATCAATCAATCAATCATAATTTACAA